TCTAAACCCTCTGCACCCTCTAAACCCTCTAAACCCTCTAAACCCTCTAAACCCTCTAAACCCTCTAACTCTAAACCCTCTGACCCCTCTAAACCCCCTAGACCCTCTAAATCCCCTGAACCCTCTAAACCCTAAACCCTAAACCCTGAACCCTACACCGCAAAAGTACGGCAGAGGGTTTTAGGTGTTTGGGGCTTGGAAGATCGAGGTTCTGAGGGGGCCTTAGCGTTTTGGCTGATTCAGGTACAAGGGTTTACGGCTAGGGGTTTAGGGGTTTAGGGGTTTAGGGGTTTAGGGGTTTAGGGGTTTAGGGGTTTAGGGGTTTAGGGGTTTAGGGGTTTAGGGGTTTAGGGGTTTAGGGGTTTAGGGGTTTAGGGTTTAGGGGTTTAGGGGTTTAGGGTTTAGGGTTTAGGGGTTTAGGGGTTTAGGGTTTAGGGTTTAGGGTTTAGGTTTAGCGTTTAAGTTTAGGGTTCCAGGGTTCCAGGGTTCCAGGGTTCAGGGTTCTAGGGTTCCAGGGTTCCAGGGTTCCAGGGTTCTAGGGTTCTAGGGTTCTAGGGTTCTAGGGTTCTAGGGTTCTAGGGTTCTAGGATTTAGGGTTTAGGGTTTAGGGTTTTGGGCCTTTAGGGTTTTTCGGGTTTTTGGGGTTGTAGTTTAGGGCTTTAGGGTTTTAGGGCTTCAGGGCTTTAGGACTTTAGGGTTTTACGACTTTAGGACTTCAGGGCTTTAGGGTCTTAGGGTATGAGGACTTCAGGGCTTTAGGGGTTTAGGGCTTGAGGGCTTGAGGGTTTTCGGGCTTCAGGGCTTCAGGACTTTAGGGCTCTGGGGCGTAAGGACTTTAAATAGTCCCCAGAAGCCGCCCCTCCGTATTTAGGTTCGCCAGCAGGCCTGGGAAAAAGAAGGGTGCCCCTTGTTTGATGCTGGGGCATAAGGCATAAGCTGCGGGATCCATACCCAAAAACCAGGGTAAGGGTACCACTGGCATCCTAAACCGTAAACACTCCTAAACTCTAAACTCTCAACTCTAAGCCGCCCAAACGCTAGTGGTGGGGTACATGGCAGCCGAGGCGCATCTTCAATGTCTGCCCGGGGCCTTGTGCCGCGTTTGGTAGTCTGAGGTCTATGTAACCTAAACCCTAAACCCGAACCCTAAACCCTAAACCCTAAACCCTAAACCCTAAACTCCGTGATTCGGATGACGGGTTTAAGGCTCGAACCCGCCGGCCTGCAAGCTCCAAAAAACCCTCAAAGCCCAAGCTGAAATACTTCACCCTACGCCGGACGTGTCAAAACCCAGACACCACAAACCTAAACCCTAAACCCTAAACCCTAAACCCTAAACCCTAAACCCTAAACCCTAAACCCTAAACCCTAAACCCTAAACAAAAAAAGCAACCCCTGAACCTATCTAAAGTGGCCAGGGGAACTCAGGCTCTTGAGGCCGTGAGCATGCGCAGCTTGTTTAACTTCTGGTAGCAGGCTTTGGGGGTTTTGGGTTTAGGGCTAGGGTTTAGGGTTTAGGGTTTAGGGTTTAGGGTCTAGGGTCTAGGGTTTAGGGTTTAGGGTATAGGGTTTAGGGTTTGGGGTTTAGGGTTTGGGGCTTAGGGTTTAGGGTTTGGGGTTCAGAGCTTCGGGTGCAGACACGAATGGGGCCCGGGCAGTAGTTGAAGCCATCTGAGCGGATTCCTTCAGAGCGTGCCGGAGGGAGCGAGTATGTGCCAGTGGCACCTGCGGAATCCGCGGGACATCGGAAAGTCTCCAGGGTTTAGAGGGCTTCGTGGGTACCCTAAACCCTAAACCCTAACCCCTAAACCCTAAACCCTAAACCCTAAGCCCTAGTATCCCAACTTCAACTCTGGGTTAGCCTTTCAACCCTTTCAACATATTTCTACATAGGGCTTCTTCTGAACCCAAACAATGACAATAGAAAAATATCCCAACTATTTTTCAAGAGTGTGATAAGAGTTGCTTTTGTATCTTAAGCACTGTTAATTCAGATTTTAGCTGTATCCTCGAACTGTACTCATAAAACAAGTATGACCACAGTACTTAAGGGGCTTATCAGTAGGTTATAGCTACAGTTCTAAGCAGGTTCTACGTACCCAGAACCTCCAAGTAGTGAGCCCCTGGTGCTGAACTCATGCCTTGACCAGAAGCACACCTTGGCCCAAAGGTTTAGGGTTCAGGGTTCAGGTTTTCATTTAGATACTTGCCCAAAACCCTGACTGGCAGCCTCTTCACACAGCCCTCAACGACGACTTCGAAACCCCCAGCCTGCAACCCTAAACCCTAAACCCTAAACCCTAAACCCTAAACTCTAAACCCTAAACTCTAACCACCACAACACCAGGCCTGTCATGGTCGAAGACGCGCTGTACTCGCCGAGACCAGAGTAGGCGTACATGGCCTGACGAGGGTTTGTGCCTTGAAATTTCAACACTCTGAAAAAATGTTGGGGTTTACAGGGTTCAGGGCTTCGGGCGTTCGGGGTTCTTAGCTTCTTTAGTTCTTGTTTTCTCGTTTGTTTGTTGTTTAAAGCTCTAGGGTGTTGGGGATTTAAGGTCTCAGGGGCTAGGGGAGTTTAGGATTCTCTTGAATTCGAGGCCCACCTTGTGAATCGAGGCCGGGTTTTCTGCTTCCTGGTAGATGCATTCGTGTTTAGGGTTTAGGGTTTAGAGTTTAGGGTTTAGGATTGAGGGTTTAGGGACTATTTGCTTAAGAACCCCCCAAGCAGCAATATTCATCCCGCGTAGGTTGATTCTTTTCGTGCCCCTGAAACTAGAAATACCTTAAACCCTGGACCCCTGAAACGGTGGCACACAACCCTAAAGCCTATATACAACCCTAAGCCTAAGCCCTAAACCTAGACCCCAACCCCTAACCCCTAACCCCTAAACTCTAAAGCCTAAAGCCCAAAGCCTAAACCCTAAAGCCTAAAGCCTAAACCCCAAAGCCTAAAGCCTACAAACCCTAAGCCCCAACTAACACCTGAAGCTCTCTGAACCCAGAAGATCGAAGCCAGGCATGCCATTCCACCCTCCCGAACGTAAATTCCAAGTACGGCTCTAGAAATTCTAGAATGTAGCAATGTAAATGATTGGCAAGGACGCGCCTAAACCCTAAACCCTAAACCCTAAACCCTAAACCCTAAACCCTAAACCCTAAACCCTAAACCCTAAACCCTAAACCCTAAACCCTAAACCCTAAACTTAGGGCCTAGGCCGCCCCCCTACACGTTGGGGGGCGGCGCTTAAGCCCTCGATGGCACAAGCCCGACCCAGGTCGCTCGCCCGCCTCCCACAGCATGGGGGTCGGTAGCGCCCATGATGGGCCCGGTACCGGAACACGTTCAAACCCCACGCCCCTGACCCTGGGCGTCGCTGGCCTTTTTGGGGGGCTACCCCCCGGGCCCCTAGGCCAGGAGGACCCGGACCCTTCGCCGTGCGCAGGGATCAGGGGGTGTCAGCCCAGGGGCCCCTTGGCCCCCCTCACCCCTGTGCCCCTCTGGCCCCCTGATCCCCCTGACCCCCCTGGCCCTCCCTGGCCCTGTTTGGGTTTGTGGCCCTTCTAGCCCCTGCCCGTGCTGCCCCCCTACCCTACTGCTGGCCCCTGACCCTGGTCTCTGTTTGTGCCCCGCCCTGCCCTACTGGCCCGGCTTCGGGGCCTCTATCTTACCTTCGAGACCTTGCTGGCACCCTTGACTCTCGGATTCAACCAACATCAAAGTTTTGAAGAGTGGACTGTCGTCTGAGTTTAGGCCTAAACCCTAAAAGGAATAGGTTTGGGTGGCTTTGCCGCCTTGGACGGCGTGGGGTGGGAGAAAAGTGTTTAGATGGCCCTCCACAATCGGGCCAAAGCTGCTTTTCAGCACCTCACGAAGCTTTCGAGCTTGTTCCGAAACCTAACTTTCACAGCATCTACGCCCTATCACAGGAAACCCTAAACCCTAAACCCTAAATCCTAAACCCTAAACCCTAACCCGGCACTGAGCATCGGACTGCAGGGAGGCGAAAAGGAGCTTTAGGAAGCTAGCGCGCAAGAAAGTCGGTTGACAAGGCTGCGTCGTGCAGTCAGCTGAAAGGTTGGGTTTAGGGTTTAGGGTTTAGGGTTCAGGGTTGAGGGTTGAGGTTTGAGGGTTGAGGGATGAGGGTTGATGGTTTAGGGTTTTGGGGTTGGGGTTGAGGGTGTTCAGGGTTTAGGGCTCTTCTGAGAGTCCCAACAGAACCCAACCCTAGATCCGAGGTTTAGAGGGTGTGGGGTTTGGGGTTTCAGGTTTAGGACTTGAGGTTTTGGGTTTTTTTGGGGGGGTTTTAGGGCCTAGGGTTTTGGGGTTTCCTCATGGTGGAGGCTTTCGGGCTTCGGGATGCCGGAAGTCGGGCCTGGGGATCGTCCAGTGTTGGGGATGAGGCACCAGGAGGTTAAGAGTCGGTTGGGGTTTGGGGTTTGGGGTTTGGGGTTTAGGGGGCTTAGGGGGCTTAGGGGGCTTAGGGGTCTTAGGGGGCTTAGGGGGCTTAGGGGGCTTAGGGGGCTTAGGGGGCTTAGGGGGCTTAGGGGGTTTAGGGGGTTTAGGGGTTTGGGGGGTTTAGGGGGTTTAGGGGGTTTAGGGGGTTTAGGGGGTTTTTATAGGGGGTTTAGGGCTTAGGGCTTAGGTCTACTCGGGGTTTCGGGCGTAATGAGGTGTAGGATTTCGGTCATCCCAAATTTTTGCAAGCCTCCAAGTCATAAACCCTCAATTTTACACTCTAGACTCTGGACCCAAATTCGGTCTAGGGTCTGCACCCTAAACCCTAAACCCGAAACCTTCAAGCCTATACCCTAAACCCTAAACCCCAAACACCAATTAAACCCTAAACCCTAGCCACCCAAAGACCCCCTAAACCTCAAGGCCCCAGCCGTTAAACCCTAAACCCTAAACCGGAAACCCTAAACCCTAAATCCCAAATGCCAAACCAAAAAAAACAAACACCCAAAGACCAAAGACCCCTAAAACTCAAGGCCCCAGCCGTTGAAGTAGCAATGCTCTAAGGCGGACTTCCCGCCCTGCTCGGCGTAGTAGACGCCGAAGACCTCTCCAAAACGGATTGGGGCCGTTTGTGCGTTTCAGGGTTTAGGGTTTAGGGTTAGGGTTTAGGGTTGGATCATTGGGTATAGATTCTGATTTCCAGAGAGGGCAAGACATCCGCCCTTGGCTGTGATGCCCGTTTTGCAGTCATCCTACCCGTGAAGGCAGTTTCCCTTGTTTGAAGGGCAAAAAGGCTACATTAGGTACAGCCCTAGCCCCCTGAAGTTCTACTGATCTCCTTGAGAAGCAACACCCCAAAACTTCATCAAGCCGTCACCTTCTCTACAGGACCTCTGCATAAGGGGAAGCCGGTGATAGACACAGACACAGACAGACGGACAGACGGACGGACGGACGGACGGACGGACGGACGGACACACACACACACACACACACACACACACACACACACACACACACACACACACACACACACACACACACACACACACACACACACACACACACACACAACCACACACACACACACACACACACACACACACACACACACACACACACACACACACACGCACACACACACCACACACACGCACACGACGCACAAACGCACACCGACCGCGCACACGCACACGCGCACTCACGCACAACACACGCACACACGCACACACGCACTCACGCACACACGCACACACGCACACACGCACACACGCACACACGCACACACGCACACACGCACACACGCACACACGCACACACGCACACACGCACACACGCACACACGCACACACGAACACACGCACACACGCACACGCGCACACACGCACACACGCACACACGCACACACGCACACACGCACACACGCACACACGCACACACGCACACACGCACACACGCACACACGCACACACGCACACACGCACACACGCACAACACGCACACACGCACGCACGGCACACACACACGCACACGCGCACACGCGCACACGCGCACACGCAAACACACGCACACACGCACACACGGCACACACGCACACACGCACACACGCACACACGCACACACGCGCACGCGCACACACGCACACACGCACACACGCACACACGCACACACGCACACACGCACACACGCACACACGCACACCCACACACACACACACACACACACACACACACACACACACACACACACACACACACACACACACACACACACACACACACACACACACACACACACACACACGCACACACGCACACACGCACACACGCACACGCGCACACGCGCACACGCGCACTCACGCACACGCGCACTCACGCACACACGCACACACGCACTCACGCACACACGCACACACGCACACACGCACACACGCACACACGCACACACGCACTCACGCACACACGCACACACGCACACACGCACACACGCACACACGCACACACGCACACACGCACACACGCACACACGCACACACGCACACACGCACACACGCACACACGCACACACGCACACCCGCACACCCGCACACGCGCACACACGCACACACGCACACACCCACACACACACACAAACACTAACTCACTCACGAAGATGTAGCTCGATGATGACATCGACAAGCCTCGCCCTACTGGCGTAAGGGTTTCGGGTTACCTTGGGGCTTTATACCCTGGAGGCCTGGCGCTATGCTTGAAAGTTCGTGGGTGGCTGCAAGTAGGGATACCAATGCGAGGATACGCGGGCAATGCGCGGGCAATGCTGGCCTGTGCGGGCCCACACTCCGACCCGGCTATGGCTCATGTAGCCTGCCTCATCCCCTCCCCCTAAGAGTAGAAACCCCCTCATTACCCCCTAACATGAAATACTCCTAGTGTAAGGGGGGGTATGTAATCTTAGGGGGAGGGGGGGGAGGGGGTTACGCAAACCTACGCCCTGCCGAGAAAATGGCTACGCAGTCGACTTCATATATGATCCCAGTTGCAACAACTGTATGAGCTCCCACTTGGACCAAAAAGGACGCCGCTCAATTGAGTTTCCTAAGCCCTCATGAACCCTAAACAATACACACTTACAGTATCCCAACTCCAAAATCCGAAGCCCTGAACCTTGTATAATGACCTTTACAATTACAGTTATTGCAACACATATGTATTAACCCTGCCAAGGCTTCAATATTCAAATTCCTTAGTTTCTCTGAAGCCCAAAATCTTGGATTCACTTAGGAGGGCAGCTAAAAATTAAAACTTCAGCTGCCTTATTAAGAAACCCAATAAACCCAAAAAGGCTAAGGATCTAAAGCCACAGTAAAGAGCCACAAAGAAAACGCCAGATAATTCTGGAATTTCCCGGAAAATTTGCCCTTATAATAAAGAATATGTCATTTTTCTTTGGTTTTTTGGAGTATTAAAGTGTAGTACTCCAAAACCCAGAAATGTTGCCTCAGGCCGAAAGCTCGGCCCCCTCGGGCCGCGGCGTAGTCGGCGACGTCCCAGATGTTGGACTTGCCTTCGAAGGTGGCTCTAAGAAGTGAGCGTTTGAGGGGGGTTTAGGGTTTAGGGTTTAGGGTTTGGGGTTTAGGGTTTAGGGTTTAGGGTTTAGGGTTATGGGTTATGGGTTATGGTACTTCGCAATTCAATTGAAACTGTACTTATAACCCACTTATACCCACATTAGGCTACTTAAGGGGGCTTCTAAATGGGTTTTAACTACAGTTACAAGTGGGTTGTAAGTGCCAGGGCTTTCCAGTGCAGTCCTTCTAAGGCGACCCTTTTCAAGAACTGTTTGGGGGCATCTTACAAGCAGGATTGTAGAATGTTGGGTCAGGGTGTTTAGGGTTTAGGGTTTAGGGTTTAGGGTTTAGGGTTTAGGGTTTAGGGTTTAGGGTTTAGGGTTTAGGGTTTAGGGTTTAGGGTTTAGGGTTTACTCGCAACTGAGACTCTGGGAGCCGCGCACGCATCGGGAATCTCCAGGCATCGGAACTCCTTGAGATCGCGGCAGGCATCACCTCTCCGCGGGTTGAAATCTCTCATAGGAAGGGTTTAGGGTTTAGGGTTTGGGGTTAGGGTTTAGGGCTTAGGGACATTCAGAGATGCCCCAACCCAAAACACCAAACACTAAAGTCCAAACCCTACATCCTAAACCCCACACCCCCAAATCCTTAAACCCCTAGAGACTGAACCCCAAACCCTAAACCCCAAACCTCAAACCCCAAAACCCTAAAGCCCAAACCTCAAACCCCTAAACCCTAAACGGCCCTAAAACCGCAAACCCTAAACCCCTCAATCCCCAACCCCAAGCCCATCCCGGCCTACGGCGCTGCCCACAGCAGGTACATGGGAGTCACGGTCGGCGACGCAGCTGGCGTCGTTGTTCCAAGCTGCAGGGCGGACCATGCTCAGTTTGTTGTGAGGGTTCGTTTAGGGTTTAGGGTTTTTAGGGTTTTTAGGGTTTTTAGGGTTTTTAGGGTTTTTAGGGTTTAGGGTTTAGGGTTTAGGGTGTAGGGTGTAGGGTTTAGGGTTTAGGGTTTAGGGTTTAGGGGTTTAGGGTTTAGGGTTTAGGGTTTAGGGTTTAGGGTTTAGGGTTTAGGGTTTAGGGTTTAGGGTTTGAGGGTTTAAGGGTTTAGGGTTAGGTAGGGTTGGTTTAGGGCTTAGGGCGCAGCAGGGTTTAGAGGCTCAAGGATTTGCCCTCCTCATGCTTACGAAGACAACGCTCTCAGACTCGACGCCAGCTAAGAATCCCACACAAGAAAAGGGTTTAAGGGAGTGGGGTTTAGGGTTTAGGGTTTAGGGTTTAGGGTTTAGGGTTTAGGGTTTAGGGTTTAGGGATTAGGTTGCTGCAGGCCACAGCTTCACATCGTGGGGATTTTGGGGGGTTTGGGGGCTTCGGAGTTGAAGGATCCGATAACTTTGGTTTTTGGCTTGGGGTTTAGGGTTTCGAGTTCAGGGTTTCGGGTTTGAGCCACGATTTTATTAATAACCCCTAAGCTTCCTAAAGTCTAGTCCTCTGCTACGCTTCAGCGGGTAGGCTTACAGTGGGATCTTGGGTTTTGCGGGCGGAATCCAGGATTTGTACCTTGGACCCTTAAGGTTGTACCCTTGGGTTTTGGGGCTCCTCTTTAAAGGTCCTTGCGGTAGTATGAGGGCCACATTGGAAGTATATTAAGGGGAACCTTTAGGGGTACAGTCTTAATCCCTTGACGGAAGCCGCCAGAGCAGGAGCGTGCAAAGTGCAAGTGGCATTTAAAATTTAGGGTTGAGGCGTGAGGGTTGAGGGTTCCTAGAATCGCACAACAGGGGTGGAAGAAACAGCCTGCCAAGCCCTGACTAGCCACCGCTTTAAAGGATACCAAGCCTAAACCCTAAGCCGAAGCCCATTAACCCAAAACCCTAGGCCCTAGGCCCTAGACCCTAGACCCTAAACCCTAAAACCTAAACCCCAAAACCCAAACCCTAAAACCCTAAACTTTCGGTTTGCAGTTACCTTGTGGACACTGGGGTGCCGAGCTTGCCCAGTTCGGCTGCTCCTGAAATGCTGCGCGGTGTGGGCTCTGAGAGGTTTACTCTAGGGGGTTAGGGTTTAGGCTGTCTAGGCTAGGGTTTAGGGTCTAGGGTCTAGGGTTAGGGAGGGTTTAGGGTTTAGGGTTAGGGAGGGTTTAGGGTTTAGGTTTTAGGGTTTAGGGTTTAGGGTTTAGAGTTTAGGGGGTTTGGGAGGGTTTAGTTTGGGTTCAGGGTAGGGTTCAGGGGGTTCAAGGGGTTCAGGGGGTTTAGGGGGTTTGAGTTTAGGGGGTTGAGGGGGTGAGGGTGTGGGGGAATCAGGGGGTTTAGTCATGTGCTGCCAAGACAATGGACGGGGTTCAGGGCCAACGTGGCACCCTAAACCCTAAACCCTAAACCCCAAACCCTAAACCCTAAACCCTAAACCCTAAACCCTAAACCCTAAACCCTTTAGAGACTTTGGAGCCTGTTTGGGAAAGGAGTCCAAAAACAGTATCTCTAAGTGGGCCCTTGATTTAGCACGAGCCCTATGTGCTGCGCAGAAGCACCCAAAATTAGTGCTTTGATGGCCTAAAGCCGAAAGCCTAACCCTCAACCCTCAACCCTAACCCCTAAACCCGAAACCCGAAACCCTAAACCCTAAACCCGAATCCCCCCTCGCTAGGAGTGAAGACTCATTAACATAGGGCCTTAATAATTAGAACAGGGTTTTGGGGGGTTACTATAGTATATTTACAAAGGGACCCATAAGAGAATACTACCCCGAAACCCTAAACCCCAAACCCTAAAGTCATTATTCCGACCCCTATGGTAGACGCTTGCTCCTTCAGAGCCCCGACCAAGGTCGGGAAGCGGGGGTGTCCTGGAGCCGGTGGGTGGAGGGTCTGGAAGTTCCAGGTGTTAGGGTTTGCAAGGTTGGGAGAATATGAGGGAGATTGCGGCTTAAGCTCTGTAAGTGTTGGGGTTCAGGGTTTATACGGTTTAGGCTTTCTGTTCATAAGGGTTGGGTTTTGCGGACATAGGGATCGACCTGTGAGATTTTAAGGGTTGAGGGTTCGTAGCCCTAAGCCCTAAACCCCAAAATGTTCTAATTTCCAGGACTTGCGGCGGGGGCATTGTGCCTGGCTTGGCAGGACTTCATACTCATAAGAAGCCCGAAAGCTCAGAACCCTTAGGTCAGGAGCGGATCTGGGGTTGAGGGCTTAGGGTCTATACGGTTTATGAGTTGAGGGTATGCTCCCCAAGTAGTTGGGTATTGAACGCTCTGGGACAGGCTATGTAAGCCCCAAGACGCTGATTTTCCGACAAAAAGTCCCGCTTGCAACCAGACTCACCACTGGCTGGTTCTTAGTAGGGAACGAGGGAATGAGTATCCTATAGAATCCCTTTAAAGGGTATGGCTAGGGCCCTCATTCCCTCATTCCCTATGAAGAACCAGGGGGACCACCGCGCTTCAGCCTTAAGCACCTGTAAGCAAGCACTGGCCTGCCCCCCGAAACCCCCAAACCTCCCAAAACCCCCGGACCCATAAGTAGGTTTATGTTGTTGGCTGTCCCTTTTGGGGCATACTAGACATGTACCCTAAACCCTAAACCCTAAACCCTAAACCCTAAACCCTAAACCCTAAACCCTGGCCACATTCCCTAAAGACGCGCGCCTTCGCGAATGCCGGCTTGGAACGTGTAGCCCCTGGCCTTGGGACGTGGACAAGGGATTTAGGGTCTATAGGGGTGTTAGAAGCCCTAAACCCTAAACCCTAAACCCTGAACCCTGAACCCTGAACCTTAGGGGTTTGGGGTAGTTTAGGCTGAGTTCATAAGCCGCAAACAAGTGTACACTTTCAGTTCTATAGGGGATTTAGCATCCCAAAAAGTGTAAAGTGTGCTGGCTCAGCTCCTGAGGGCGGGTTTAGGGTACTTTAGGGGTTTGGGGTAGTTTAGGTAGAGGATAGGATTAAGGGGACCCTTGGGGATATAGACCCTCTGTATAAGGTCCCTGTTTAAGAGAGCCAGAAGAGGGTTAAGAAGGGGTTCCCTTTTAAGGGTCCCCCTTATCCTACCTAGGATTAGGGGTTAGGATTTCGGGTTTAGGCGGCTTAGGGTTTAGGGGCTTAGGGTTTTTTTTGGGTTTCCGGCTTACAAGGTGTTCAGCCAACAAGGCTTTCTTAGTGTAAGCCCGAAAACCGAAAACCCTGAACCCCTTAAACCAACACCAACAACCCTTTACTAAACCACCAAAGTTAGAAACCAGAAACTAAACCCTAAACAACAAACCTCCAAAAACCTAAGCCGCAAGAACCCAAACCCCAAACCGAACCCAACCCACCTTAACCCTACGTACTCTTTAAACCCAACCCCCAACCCCAAAACCCTAAACTCAAACCACCCTAAACCCAACACGCTGAACCCTAAACCCTCAACCCCAAACCCCAAACCCTAAACCCCTCAAAACCCCCTAAATCATGAACACCAGTTTGGGGTTCTCCTTTAGTTGTCCAGTAACCTGGGGGAATTACAGCTTAACCTTTGGGAATATAAGGGGATTATATAGGGTTTAGGGTTTAGGGTTATATACCCCAAAAAGGTTAAAGGTTACCTGCTCTACTACTACTATAGGTCTCGTTGGCCCTCCTCCAAGGCTGCCGCAAACGCGTCAAGCTCGTGGGCATCGGCGACCTGGCGCTGTTGTTTTTGTGGGTTTAGGGTTTAGGGTTTAGGGTTTAGGGTTTAGGGTTTAGGTGTTTGAGAATTTGGAGGGGAGAGGGCTCCCGCCCTTGAGTTGAGCCATTAGGGTTCAGTTAGGGTTTAGGGCTCAGAGGGTTTTCAGGGTTAGTTAAGGGCTTAAAGATCAGAGGGTTTAATTAGGCTTTAGGGGGCTAAGCGCAACACCCTGGGGTCGAGTGCCTCCGCCCTTGAGTTGAGCCATTAGGGTTTAGGCTTCAGATTTCAGGTTTTGGAGTTTAGATACCCCCTCGTTTTGAATATGTTTGGCCGGCGCGAATATCAGGATTAGGGGGGGGGGGGGGGGGGGGGGGGTAACTTTCGATGACAGGATGTGCCAATTTGGAGTTTAGGGCTGGAGAGCCAGACCTTCCGAGACCCTACCACTAACGCGAACCCTATCGTACAAACTATAGAGGTCTTAGCATCGGCTGCGGTTAACGGATAGGTCTTAAGGGCTTGGGGGTCGGGTTTCGGTCTCAGGGGTTGAAGGCTTAGGGTTTGGGGTTTCGACCCGCAGGGATTAGGGCTTAGGGCTTTAGGGTTTAGATCTTAGGGTTTAGGGTGTTTTGGGGGGTAGATAGGGTTTTAAGGCTTAGGGTTTAGGGCGGTCAAGGGCCAGGCTTAGAACCCTTAACGCAGTCACCAATCTCAGGGCCGTGTCCCATGGTTCGAAAGGCGACAGACTCAGGCTGTCGCGTGCGCGTGACGACACTCTGCCCTTCAACCAAGTGCAGGTCGACGGAAAGCTGGCCAATGTTGCGCTCCTCTTAGACTCTGTGTGTGCGGGTCGTCCTCAGCTAAGGGATTCGCTTCCGGACGCCGTCCCTCTGCCACCTCCGAAGGGCATTCACGCGCGCGTTGTGCTTACCTTTTCGGAGGGTCTCTATTTTCTTGTGATAGAACTTGGGGTTCTTTCTTTGGCTCTTACATAACCGCACGAACTGGGGAGGCGCTCGTGAGTCCCAGCTGGCAGCTCGTACTCCGAATCCATGGACACCCGAGGGTTTAGGGTTTAGGGCTTAGGGTTTAGGGTTTAGGGTCCCCAAGAAATCCCTCAACGAACCCTAGACCCGGGAGAAACCTAGGAATAATCAGGGTGCCCTTTTGGATGATAAGGGAACCCCAACCCCAAAAAAAGGAAATAAGGGCCTACTCGCGGTCCTAGAATCTTCAACTCTCTCAGAATAACCCTAAACCCTCAACCCTAAACCCACAAACCCTCAACCCCAAAACCCTGAACCCTAAATCCTCAACCCTAAACCCTGAAACCATTAACCCCAGACCCTAAGCCCTCAATCCTAAACCCTAAACCCTAAAACCTCGGAAAGGTCCTTAGTCCAGGGCCTTGCCGCCGAAATGAGTGACCAAACGGTCCTGGTCTGACTTAGGAAGGGAGTACAGGGTTGGGCTGGAGTGGGGTTCAGGGCTTAAGTTTAGGGCGGAGGGTTTGTTAACGTCAAAAAAAGCCCTAGATTTTAAGATTCAAAAACCCCTAAATGGGGTTAACGTTAAAAAACCGTAAAAGAGGGCTTAGGGCTAAGCCCTTCGTCCAACACCCGAAGCTTAAACAACACTTTTGACTACAACAAGTCCGAGGGCTTCGTGTTGTGGAGTTTAGGGTTTAGGGTTTAGGGTTTGGGGCTTCGGGTTTAGGGTTTAGGGTTTAGGGTGGCTTGTAGAGCTTAGAGCTTCTTATGTTTTATAGTCCTAGTTTTGTGTTTTACGGCTTCAGAGTTTCGAGTTAGGGCCCCCTAACCCTAAACCCTAAACACTAAACCCTAATCCATTATAAGGTCTCGCGCTCCAGGGCCTTGGGGCTTTCGTAGATCGAAGGGAGCCTGAAATTGTCGCCGGAATCGAAGGAAAGTGCTTCCAAGGGTGCGAACTCCATATGCAGTAGGGTTTGGGTTGAGGGTTTGGGGTTTGGGGTTGGGGTTTGGGGTTTGGGGTTTGGGGTTTGGGGTTTGGGGTTTGGGGTTTAGGGTTTAGGGTTTAGGGTTTAGGGAAAGCTCCCCTCTGACTACCCTTGTGGTGGCTGCCCGAAGTGCAACATGATCAAACACGGAGGCGGGCAGCAGACCATGCGGCAATGGAAGGCTGTCTGCCCGAAGCACCTTACAAAAGCCCAAACAAAGTCCCCACCCTGATTCCTAAGCCCTCAAACCCTAACCCTAAACCCTAAACCCTAAACCCTAAACCCTAAACCCTGAACCCTAAACCCTAAACCCTGCAGAGGGTCTGCTGGGGCCCCCAGCGATGAACACCTGCATCCTGGCCGGCTTCTCTTGCCTTGGTCTGCTGAAGGGCCGAGAGGTTGAACCCCTAAACCCTAAACCCTAAACCCTAAACCCTAAACCCTAAACCCTAAACCCTAAAACCTAAACCAAACAATCGAGGATTTCATCTTAGGGCGTATAAGGGCTGTTGGGGTTGAAGGTTTAGGGGCTTCTCGAGCTTGTCTTCTAAGCCTTTTAGCCCAAACCATACCCAAAACTGGGTATGGTTACGGCTAGAATCTTAGAAGGCTTAGAAGAATAACAAATGCTGTTACAGCAGCCTGGATGTTGAAGAGTTGCACAACAGGATGAGAATCCAGCGTATCGCCCTAAACCCCAAACCCTGAACCCTAAACCCCCGAACACCCGAACCCTGAACTTCCCCGAACCAGCCGTCTTGTTTCTCATCTAAACCACCCCAAGCCCTGAGCCCTAAACCCTCAACCCTAAGCCCCTAAACCCTAAGCCTCAAACCCTATGCCAGCCAGGATTGCCCCGAGAAATATGGGCTAACAACTCAAAACACCGCACCTCCCCCACAAAAGAATCCCTCCCTCCTCCCCTCCCCCCCCTCCCCCCCTCAACGGCCCTAAAGCCTATACTGCGACCCTCATGCCCCCCCCCCCCCTCCAAACAAAAAAATAAAAATAAAACTAACCCTAGATCCCAAAAAACCTAAAACCCAAAACCCAAACCCCTCCCCCCCCCACCCCCCCCCCCCGCAACCCCCCCCCCCCCCCCCCAACCCCCCCCCCCCCCCCAACCCCCCCCCCCCCCCCCCATCCCCCCCCCATCCCCCCCCCCCCCCCGCCCCCCCCCCCCCATCCCCCCCCCCCACCCCCCCCCCCCATCCCCCCCCCCATCCCCCCCCCAATCCCCCCCCCCTCCCCCCCCCCCCCACCCCCCCCCCCCCCAAAAAAAAAACTGAACTTGGCCACTGTATCCCCTAAACGCTGAACCCTCTTGGGCCTCCAGGGTTTGAGGGTTTTCGGGTGTTTAGGGTTTAGGGTTTGGGGCTTAGGGTTCAGGGTTCAGGGTTTAGGGTTTAGGGTTTAGGTTTAGGGTTTAGGGCCATCGAGCAGCTCTGCGATGCTCTGATAGCCCTTCGGCGTGAGGCTGACCTCTGCAGCGTGATGAGGGTTTGGGGTTTGGGGTTTAGGGTTTAGGGTTTAGGGTTTAGCGTCCGGGGCTTCGAGTTCAGGGCTTGGGGTTCGGGGTTCGGGGTTTAGAGTTTGGGGTTTAGGGTCACACCCTAAACCCTAAGCCCTAAACCCTAAACCCTAAGGGCACCCTAAACTGGCCCTAAACTTTTAAACCCTCAACCCTCAACTCTCATCTTAATTGGATCAGACTAGAGGGTGCCTCCTTTAAAACTCAATCTGCCCTACGCCCCAAGTCCTCAACCCGAACCCCTTACCCACACCCCCCGAAACTGGCCCTAAACCCCCTAAACCCCCTAAACCCTAAACCCTAAACCCAGAAACCCTGCCTCACTCACACTCTGCTGCAAGGGTGAGTGAGGTTTCGGACAGCATTCAAGCATTCAAAGTCATCTAAATCGCAAAAACTAAGCCCAAACAGCCGCTCTCAACCCCCCATAAACTGAAAACCCTTTAGGTTTTAGGGTTTAGGGCTTAGGGCTTAGGGTTTAGGGCTTCTAGGTGAAGAGCCATACCATCACCGGCGGGCCTTGCGCGGATCTGGGATGCACAGCTCCGAGAAGTCCTGCTACCATGCGCAGGTTCGGGTTCAGGGTTTACGGTTTACGGTTTAGGGTTTAGGGCTTAGGGTTTAGGGCTTAGGGCTTAGGGTTTAGGGTTTAGGGTTTAGGCTTTAGGGCTTAGACAACTTTTGCATCAGGGCTTGCTCCATTTTGTTGGCCCTTTTCTTTCTGAAAGGTATCTGCCAAGGGGTTTCAGGGTCGAGGCTTTTGGGTTAAGGTTTGGGCGTTAGGGAAGACCAGTTTAGGGGTTTAGGGTTTAGGGTTTAGGGTTCAGGGGTACTCCCTGAACCCTGAACCCTAAACCCCAAAGGGCTCCCCAAATACCCCCGACGAAACTGTATAGCTCTACATAATCCGAAGCCTCAGAAAAATCTGCAACATACCCCTCCAAAACCATCCAAATCACAAACTCCCCCTACAAACCACAAACCCTTCCACAACTTACCCAAGAACCGAACCCTAAAAGCCCTAAAAACCTAGGCCCTGAAGCCCTAATCCCTAGTAAAACCTCTACCCCCTCAAAAAGCCCAAGAAAGCATTCGACATGGCCAATTCCTTTCTGGGTGTACCCTAAGAGCTGCGTTTGTTTACTATCATGGGTTCCCTACTACCCCCCTCTATACTAACCCCCCCCCTAGGTTCCCCCCATTATTGAGGCCGACTTAGGGACAATTAAGCAGGATTAAGGCTCTTTAAGGTGGGAACCTCGGGGGGGGGGAGGTAGTTTTGAGGGCGGTAGTAGGGAAACCCATGATACTAGCCAGGCACAAGAAGAACGGAAAAACAAAAAAAAAAACCTTAATTGCTAGCGCAGCAACCATCTTGTGATAAGGGCACCCCTTTTTTGGGGTTGGTTGCTTCGTAAGGGAACCCATCACCAAAATGAATGGGTAAAGGGCACTGCTGGGGCTACCCTAAACCCTAAACCCTAAACCCTAACCCCTAAACCCTAAAGCCCTGAATATCTCACTCTGCTGGCTCAAGAGGGTCCGCTGAGCCACCGTAGGCAGCGGCCACGGCGCGCGGCAGGTCGCCATCGCCCTGTGGGGACACTGAGGGTTTCGGGTGTAGGGTTTAGGGCTTAGGGTTTAGGGTAGATATAGGGTTTAGGGTTTAGGGTTTAGGGTTACGGTTTACGGTTTAGTTGTTGAGGGTATTGTGGGACTGCCAGCACAAGGTAACCAACGCGACATCAGGGAAATCTAGTCGTAGGAGTGTATACCCTCGACGCCCTCGGGATTCGCATCTTTGGGTCACGTTATTTTCCTGCGATGGCGCCACCCAACAACCCTAAACCCTAAAACCTACAACACACCCAACCCTCTATGCAAGCTCATCTTCAGGCTTAAGTCCCTAAACCCTAAACCCTAAACCCTAAACCCTAAACCCTAAACACGTTCTATGTCCTGGGCCACCTGCGCAGACCCTGGAACCCTATACCCTGGAATCCGAGAACCCCAAAGCCCTCAAACCCTTAGTCCTCAAACCCTGCTCATTCCGAAACCCTAAGCCCTTATCACAAACCCTAATTCCTAATCCCAGGTCCCACAAACACAGGGAATCCTGTGCCCTGAGTTTGGTCTTTCCAGTAACCCTCGCGTCATTTAAGTGGAGAAGGTACACGACTTTGAGACCCTAAGCCTTAAGCACCCAAAACCCTAAACCCTAAACCCTAAACCCTAAACCCGAAATCCGAAGCCCTAACCCTAAACCCTCAACCCTCAACCCTCAACCCTAAACCCTAAACCGCAAATCGCCCCCAAACCATGTGCCTTGGCTGCCGGTACCAGGCACCAGGCTTGGAAGTCGTCGCCGAAGTAGTCAAAGTCGACCACCGGGTAGTCCTCACCAGCAGTTCGGATTTAGGGTTTAGGGTTTAGGGTTTAGGGTTTAGGGTTTAGGGTTTAGGGTTTAGGGTTTAGGGTTTAGGGTTAGGGTTTAGGGTTTAGGGTGTAGGGCGTAGGGGGTTTAGGGTTTGGGGTTTAGGGCGTAGTGTGCAGGGCGTAGAGTGCAGGGCGTAGAGTGCAGGGCGTAGGGTGCAGGGCGGTCCGGGTTCCCAAGCAAGCTTCGGAGACACGGGAAACCTCCACCTCGCCCTGCTTCTTACTGTTTTATCGATATCTCAAGGTAGGGTTTAGGGTTTAGGGTTTAGGGTTCAGGGTTCAGGGTTTAGGGTTTAGGGTTTAGGGTTTGGGGGGGGGGGGGGGGGGTTTCAAGGGGGGTATGTCACCCAAGTTTCCCTTTTGCTCCCCACTACTCCCTAAGGCTCCCTGAGCTTCCCTAAGGTTCCCCTCCCTTAAGAACCCCATAACTGTTGGTTAGCAGGGAATGAGGGAATTAGGGCCCTATATATACTTTGTAAGGGATTATAGGGTACCTCATCCCCCATTCCCTACAACAGTAAGGCTTTTGAAGTACCATTCGCTCATGGTGAAAGATGAGCATTGCGAATTCTTAGGTGGCTTTTTAGTATGACACTGGGCTATTGCAACTCTAAACCCGAAACCCTAAACCCTAAACCCTAAAAACCCTAAAAACCCTAAAACCTAAAAACCCTAAACCCTAAACCCTAAACCCTGTAACCCTAACACCCTAAACCCTGGGGACCCCAGTCCCCCAGCTTGAAGATGCCGAAGTCCATTTCGGTTCCGCCCTTGTCGTAGCCTTTGGGGTATCGGGTTTCTGGCTTAGGGTTTCGAGTTTAGGGCTAGGGTTCAGGGTTTAGGGTTTAGGGTTTAGGGTTCAGGGTTCAGGGTTCAGGGTTTAGGGTTTAGGGTTTCGGGTTCAAGGTTTAAGGTGTACCTGGGCACAGATGGGGTTACATAGGGTCTTGTAGGGTTTCGGTTTGAGGGTTCAAGGTTCAGGGTGTACCTGGGCACAGCGCCTTGACAAAGGCAAGTATAGTTAATGATTTCAGGCATCTCCTCTAGTGAAGACTTCCAAGGGTCGTTACCATGGGTAGGGTCCGCCCAAGAACACTAACCGAAAACTGCCTCCTTTGTAGGCTGCCGAAGAATCCTACCTGAGGTTCCCAGTAGCCACCTACAAAGCAGCAGAAACGAAGGGGAGGTAGACGCCAAAATGGAGGCTAATCTCTTTTTCTTTAGAAGTATGCATGTTTCTTCTCTAAGCAAACTAAAAATGCCGAACTCCAAGCCCCAAACTCCAGCCCAGCAACCCAAAAGATGTAAACCCTGAGCCTCAACCCTAGACCAACCCCCTAAACCCTACACCCCAAACCCTAGCCCTAAACCCTCAACCCTAAACCATAAACCCTAAAACCTAAATCCCAAACCCTAAACCCTAAACACGTATGTGAAACGGAGGACGGAAGCCTGGCGCTCGTACCTGCCTTCTTGGGTAGTGCCCTAAGCCCAAACCCTAAACCCTAAACCCTAGACCCTAAACCCGAAACCATAAACCCTAAACCCAGTGTTTAGAGGTTTGGGACTTAAGGTGCTATTAGGGGGGAAGCATGGCTGTTTTCACCCTGGGATTTGTATCTGGAGTTTCCCTGCACGGAAGAACCCAAACCCCCCAAGCCCTAAACCCTAACCCTAAACCCTAAACCCTAAACCCTAAACCCTAAGCCCTAAGCCCTAAGCCCTAAGCCCTAAACCCTAAACCCTAAACCCTAAACCCTAAACCCTAAACCCTAAACCCCAAGCTAGGCCGCACGCGGACATGGAACTCGAAGAAGGAAACCCCGTTCAGCAAAGGGCAGTCTGCTGCAGGAGCACTAGGGTTTGGGGCTTAGGGTTTAGGGTTTAGGGCTTGGGGCTTGGGTTTTAGGGCTTCCCTGAACCCCTGAGACCTAGACTCCTCGACAGCCCTGGTTTAGGGTTTAGGGTTTAGGATTTAGGGTTCTTGCAACCGTACAGGGCCCTATCACCGCATAACGCTAAACTGCTATGGAAATTGCCCCAAGACAGGTTCCGTCAATTTCTCCGGGTCGAGGGCCCTCGCTTGTATGGGTGTCGTCCAACACCGCACATCCTACTCCCCAAGCTACTATAAACTACTGATCTCATTTTGCGGTACCGGGCTCGAACAGGTTATTGGGGAAGCATGGGTTTGGGCTTGAAGGTTGTGGCCAAGCATCAGATTATTCGCGGGTAAGGCGTTTAAGGTTTAGGGGAACCAAATAGCCCCAGTCCAACCCAGTCTTCGCAGGAAACCGTGGCAGACACCAGTGGATGTATCATGCTAAACCCCAGACACTAAACGCATACCCTAAAGTAAGCCTACACAACTTACGCAACCAGCCTTTCGAGTCCTGAACACCCAAAGCCAAAAAACCCGAACACGAAGCCCTAAACCCTAAACCCCAAACCCAAATTCAACCCTCAACCCTCAACCCTCAACCCTAACCCTAAACCCCAAACCCAAATTCAACCCTCAACCCTAAACCCTAAACCCCAAACCCAAAAATTCAACCCTCAACCCTCAACCCTCAACCCTAAACCCCAAACCCCAAGCTCAAGATCCTAAATCCAGCCTCGCACAATCTGCAACATCTCCTTGAGGTCGATGGCAACCTCGACACACCACAGGCCGTCACTCAAGGGTTTAGGGTTTTAGGGTTTAGGGTTTCAGGGTTTTAGGGTTGTAGGGTTTTCGGGTTTTCGGGTTTTTAAGTAAGGGTTTTAGGGGTTTTAGGGTTTTAGGGTTTTTAAGTAAGGGGTTTTAGGGGTTTTAGGGCTTTAGGGTTTTAGTGTTTTAGGGTTTTCGGGTTTTTGGGCATTAGGGTTTTGGGGCTTGGGGTTTTCGGGCTTTAGGGCATTAGGGTTTTGGGGCTTAGGGTTTCAGGATTGTAGGGTTTAGGGTTTAGAGGGTTTCCGAGAATCGTGGTGCCCATTTTGGCGGTTCCCATCATAAGGAGCATCCTGTTTTGGGGTACATTACGGGTCTCCTGTTTGGGGAAACAACCATATAAACCCCTGTTCACGGTCCAAGCCTAATCAACCTCAACCGGTAAAACCCTTGAAGTCCTTGAAGCCCTTAACGCCCTTAACCCCTAAACCTCAATGAAACTCGCGGCGCACGGTCGCTATGGAGGCTTCACTCTTCCAACATAACCTGAGCCTTGGGGACCGGACATACGGTATATGTCCCCAATTCGAGGGTTCGCTTGGTCCCCAAAAGGGGGTTCAGGGTTGAGAGAGTCGACCTCATCAGAGGGTCGTCGTGATGAGTGAGAAGCCCTAAACCCTAAACCAAAAACCCTAAACTCTAAACCCTAAACCCTAAACCCTAAACCCTAAACCCTAAACCCTAAACCCTAACCCTAAACCCTAAGCCCTCTGATGAGTGAGAGAAGTCGTGGGCTGCTGCTGCGGGCTTTCTGAACAGTCTGGCAACCCCTAGAGACAAAATCTGCGAGCCTAAGCTCTCATCTTCGCCTTCTCACATCAAGGGTTTAGGGTTTAGGGTTTAGGGTTTAGGGTTTAGGGTTTAGGGTTTAGGGTTTAGGGTTTAGGGTTTAGGGTTTAGGGTTTAGGTTTAGGATTCACCCATACGGGATAAACTCCAACGGCTTCTGCCCTCCAAAACCGACGATCCTACATGTAAGGATTTGAAGAGCTCACGCTTGCGGCCATCGCTGAGGGAGGAACATCCCCGTGCGGGTTGTGATACTCCTGATGTGCGATTGTCTGTTCAAAGTTTGAGCGGGTGAGGGCGAAAAACGCGGGCCTTTCAGTAGTTAGAAGAGGGGTTTGGGGATTTCTTCATACTTATGTAGGGGTCAGAAAGGAATCATACTAGTAATTCTTCCGACCCCTAGCATGCTGCTGTCCTATGTCCAGGCCTACGGCCCACTTATTCAGGCCTGGGCGGGCAACAGACCGAACTGGTGAGTTGGTCCTTCTAGGGTACCGGACCCTACATGAGATGGGCCGCCTTACAATAGGGACCCCAAAAGGGACCTCTAGCCCTAAACCCTAAACCCAAAACCCTAAACCCTAAACCCTAAACCACCCTAGACCATGTGTTAGAGAAGTGACCATTTAGAGTTTAGGGCTGGGTGGCGCCACAGACGGCAGTACAGAAGCTAGAATCTGGCAGTGAGTTAGGTTAAGGGTTCCGGGTTTCATTAGGGTTTAGGGTTTAGGGTTTAGGGCTAGAGTTTAGGGTTTAGGGTTTAGGGTCTCGGGTTTAGGGCTTAATTCGGTTTTTCGATGCCCGCAACAGCAAAACCCAAGCCGTCCTGGATCATGACAGGCGTAGTCGGAAATTCAGACACGTACCTGGCCAGTTATGGGCTGTGAGACATATATGGAGTAGGTTTTCTATTTCTTACATCCCCGAAAGGACACCAAATATATACACTCACCAATATTTAATTGTAAAAGGAACCTTATATACACCCATCAATAGCAGCAATATAAACCCTACTTCACATGGGATGGAACCCAAACTACGGGGAAATCTTAGCTTGGTACCCTGCACCACAAGGGCATATGGGTCCAGAACTCCAAGACCTGAAGCCCTAAACGCACCCAACAAGGGCCAAACCCTAAACCCTCAAGCCGAACACGAACCCTGAGCCCCCCTGTCCATGCCCATACAATCTCGGGGTGTTTGGGGCTGGGGGGGAGAAGGGGGAAAGCCTAAACCCTAAACTCTAACCCCTAAGCCCTAAAGAAACCCTAGAACCGGAGCCCAGACCCTATGCCTGAGTATGATTGCAAAGTAGGGATTAGGGTCTAGGGGATTTAGGGATTAGGGTTTGGGGTTTAGATTTAAGGTGTAGAGGCAGGTGCATCAAGCATCCTGGCTGGGATCTTTTTGGACCCTAAAACCCCAAGTTCTACTTGAAGGCTCATTGTAGTTTGTAGTTAGAGCTCGTTCTTCATATAGTCCCTACTTTCAAGAAGAATGGGCCTTCTGGTACGTTTTGGGTGTACGTAGGGCTAACTCAGGCCTGAACATAGCAGCCTAAGCTGGGTTGAGGGTTTGGGGTTTAGGGTTTAGGAGCTGGGCGTCTGACGAGTCCAGAAACATGGACTTCACGTGAACGGCCTGGTGGGCATTGAGGGCCTATGTACTTTAACCCTAGAGACCCTAAGCCTCGAACCCTGAAGGGTTTAGGGTTTAAGGAGTTTAGGGCTCAGCGTAGTCCGTTGCGAGTGCAAGAAAGGCGGGACGCTCTGTGGAGTAGGATGTTTGCTTCGCAGGATTTCTTTCTGTCGACTCTCAAAGGGTTCGAAGGGTTTTCTTCGAACCAAGACATCAGTCTAAAGCCCAAAACCCTTGAAGAACACAACGCCCTGAACCCCAAACCATCACAACAGCCAAACCCTTAATCCCTCGCTTGGTAGCTGGGCACCCTGCTTTGGGTTGGTAAATTTGTGAGGGAGCCTTGAAACAAACAACAGGGAAAAGTGCACCACTGGGCTACCAGGCTAAAAACCCTGAATCCCAAACCCTCACAACCCCCAAACCCTAACCCCAAACCCTAAACCCTAAATCCGAAACCCCAAACCCTAACCCGTTATAAACCAGAAAAGCCCCAGAACCCGAACGCTGGGACTTCCTGGGCCATGTTCGTGAGATTCTGGCCGAACGTTCGTGAACGAAACCCCTGACCCTAAACCCAAATTGAACCCTAAACCCTAAACCCTAAACCCCAAACCCTAAACCCTAAACCCTAAACCCTAAACCCCCTGAAGCCCAAGAGTTCGTGGTTTAAGGCCTCGAGGGCTTCAGGGTTGATGTCTTAAGGATTCGCAGGTTCAGGGGGTTGGGGGATGACCTCCGAAAGCAGGAAGCCACGAAATCTCAAGACGACGTCCAGACCCCCTGACGCCGAGTTTAGGGTCTGTGTTTTCGGGTTTAGGGTTTAAGGGTATAGGGTCCGAGAAACAGAAGTGGCATCGTAAGTCTCCCTCAAACACATTTCAGCCCTATTTGGGTAGAGGGTAGTTAGGGCAGGGTTCGCAAAAGCTCCCAGAGTTTTTGAGTTTCAGGTTTAGGGTTTGGGGTTGAAGGTTTAGGGTTTAGGGTTTAGTGACTGCCACTGTTGCAGCCCGGTCGCGGGATTCGCCGTGTTGAAACTATTGTGGAACCTGGCAGTGTCGGAAGCCGAAGACTCACAAAATCCTAAACCCCCCAAACCCCCCAAACGCCTATTTCCCCAAACCCCCAAACCCCTAAACCCCCCATCAACCCCCAGCACCAGAACTCCCTAAACCCTAAACCCTAAACCCGAAACCCCGAACCCTAAACCCCAAATCCCTAAACCCTAAATCCTCACCCCTGAAGCTCCCCGAGTCCCCAGCCCAGAATCCTGAACCAATGACTACTAGATGCTTAAGAACCGCCTCCCCCCCCCGCCCCCCCAAGAAACCCTAAACCCTAAACCCTAAACCCTGAACCCTGAACCCTAAACCCAGGAAAAACAACAAACTAAAAACACAACTTCCTTATAAGGGCAGCATAGGGATTTATACTCTTGCCCTTTTGGGCGTTTTGAAAAAGCAACTCGTAGCTCAGGGCTTAGGGATACTCCTGGTCTTGGCTTGGCCCAAGATCGGTCCCTCAACCCTAAGCCCTAAGCCCTAAGCCCTAAGCCCTAAGCCCTAAGCCCTAAGCCCTAAGCCCTAAGCCCTAAACCCTGAACCCTAAACCCTACTGCAAGTTCTTAACCCTGAGGCGGATAGGCTGCTGCGGGCCGCTGTTCAGGAGTCCCTTCCTAGAGGGTGTATAGGGTTTACGGTTTAGGGGGTACGGTTACAGCTAGATACCCGTAGAGGGACGGGACGATGTTTCTAAGCGAGACTACACCACATACCAGGCAGCATCTTTCAGTACGAGTATCAATGACACCCGACTTATTCAGTCACCAATAAGACAATAAAAAGGAGACATATACATATACATATATATATATATGTGTGCATATACATATATATATATATATATACATTTACATATACATACCCTCACGAACATCAACCCCAAGGCCCTGTAAGTCCTCAACCCAAAACAGCCTAAACCCCCATATTCTACGCCCAAAATTGGTAGCCCAGGAAGGTTTAGGGTTTAGGGTTTAGGGTTTAGGGTTTAGGGTTTAGGGTTTAGGGTTTAGGGTTTAGGGTTTAGGGTTTAGGGTTTAGGGTAACCATATTTCAACAAGGTACTCTTTTTGGGGTTGGCTTCTATGTAAAGGGAAGCTAGAAACCAAAAAAAGGAGCAAGAGGGTACCCTTATTAGAGTCCTTATTATGAGGGAATCCTACTATTTGGGGGTCTATTCTAGGGTCCCCTATTTCCGTAAATAGGGTTTAGGGTTCAGGGAGTAGGGTTTCGGGTTTAGGGTTTAGGGTTTCGGGGTTGGGGCTTTAGGGTTTTCGGGTTTTGGGTTTGTCGGGCCAGCAGTTGGCGTCACGTAGGCGCGGGAGTATAATTGGGGTTCAAAAAGGGTTTAGGGTTTTAGGGTTTAGGGCTTAGGGTTTAGGGTGCCTGAAAAGTTGTTAGGTGACAGCTTTTTAGCCTGTGACCATGTCATCATAAGGGTACCCTTTTTCCGGGTGGGCTACTTTGTGAGGGAACCGAAAACCAATAAACCCTAAACCCTAAACCCCAAACCCTAAACCCCAAACCCCTAAACCCTAAACCTTAAACCCTAAACCCTAAACCCTAAACTGCGCAAAAGGGGACACTCCCATGTCGAAGGTAGCGCCGCCCAAGCTTGCAAAAATGGAGGTGATTCCGGGTGTAGGGTTTAGGGTTAGGGGGTTTAGGGTTTAGGGTTAGGGGTTTAGGGTTTAGGGTTTAGGGTTTAAGGTTAAGGGTTCAGGGCAAAAATGGAGGTGATTCCGCTACATTCCCCTACATGTAAGCACGTCAGTGGCAGCCTCAACGGGCGGTTTAGGGTTTAGGGTTTAAGTTTAGGGTTTAGGTTTTAATTTGGTCGAGGAATTTACGCTGTTTGGTCGAGGAATTAGGGTTTACGCTGCCAGCATGAGAGGCGCGGCGCCTTTCGTGGTAGAACTTTGTCAAGTTGTTGTGCGCATCATAGCCTGCACAAGTCTGCGCTTGAGTCTGTCTGCTGTCGCCCCGGAATCCCCGCTAAACCCTAAACCCTACACCCTACACCCTAAACGTGTCTGAACCCTGCTCTTTGATTCGATACCAAGCTGAAGGTTCTCGGCTGTTTGCGAAATCTACCACCCCAAATCCCCGATACTCTGGCAACTAGGTTGCGATATTTTTGTTTTACTATCAAACTCCAAGCCCCAATACTATACCAGGCTAGCAGTACTAGGATGCTTTTTTGTACTATATCATCTCTACCCGAAACCCTAAACCCTAAACCCTAAACCCTAAACCCTAAACCCTAAACTTGGTTCAAGTTGCTCCACAAGTACCCGAGCCCACAGTCGGCCTCCAGTCTGGAACATCCCCCCCCCCCCCCCCCCCACTCTCTCTCTAAATTTGCACAGCAGAAAAGGGTTTAGGGTTTAGGGTTTAGGGTTTAGGGTTTAGGGTTTAGGGTTTAGGGTTTAGGGTTTAAGGTTTAGGGTTTAGGGTTTAGGGTTTAGGGTTTAGGGTTTATGGCTTCGGTATGGGTGCTAAAGACTCCCTAAACCCCAAAGCCAACATTCAAGGGCACGACCTCACAAGGCCACAAATACCACCCCCAAACCCTATGCTAGCCCGCAGGGTCCCATGTAAGGGTTCTAGTATGCTAAGGGCACCCTTTTTTGGGTTTAGGTTGAGGGTTTAGGGTTTAGGGTTCAGGGTTCAGGGTTTAGGGTTTAGGGTTTAGGATTTAGGGTTTAAGGTTTAGGGTTTAGGGTTTAGGGTTCAGGGTTCAGGGTTTAGGCTTTAAGGTTTAGGGTTTAGGGTTTAGGGTTCAGGGTTCAGGGTTTAGGGTTTAGGGTTTAGGGTTTAAGGTTTAGGGTTTAGGGTTTAGAGTTTAGGGTTTAGGATTTAGGGTCCCATGTAAGAGTTCTAGTGGCGGGCTGAGACTTCTGACCGCGGATGCTGGCCTACCGACTCCGGATGGTGCATTGCCGCCTTGTGGGCTCAGGGGTTTGAGGTTCGGGGTTTGGGGCTAAGGGTCTAGGGTTTAGGGCGTTTATCAGGGTCAGAGATGCCGAGAGTACGTAGAGTTTATGAGGTCCGGTCCCTTCTGGAGCAATTTCGGAGGAAAAGGCCATATGTTTTGTGGGTTGGTGGTCTCTTTAAGTAGGGTTTCTGTCTTATTCGACGTTCTTGGATTATCTAGGGGGTATATCTAGGGGCTATATAAAGGTATAAGGGTAACCGATCAAGCGGCCACCGGCCTTTATAAGCCATGTAAGATGTAAGTAGAGTAAGAGGAGGTCGGGCGGTCGGTTAGAAGGTTGCTTGGAAAAAATCAATGCTCCGGCTTAGAGCCCCAAACCCTCACCCTAAACTCACGTTTAGGGTTTAGGGTGTAGGGCTTAGGGTGCAGGGTAAACCCAGAGTGCGGCGTGCCCCCCTGTAAACCATGAGGAGAGAAGAGCATGCAAGACAGCTGAGGCTCAGGTACAACAGCGCACCAACTGCTTAGAGGCTCAGCCAGGCGAGTTTAGCGTTTTATTAGGGTTTAGGGTTTATATTATTGGGTTTATACAGGGGAATTTAGGGTTTGTACAGGGTTACTTTGTTTATGTTGGGGTCATCTGCGTATGTTGGGCTTATATAAGGTTTATGTGAAGGCTGTTTCAAAGGTCCTAGGCATTGTGGAACAACTATCATGTGTTGTTGACTGCCGAACTCGCCACAAACAAAAAAGACCTTCGGGTTCAGGTTCTACGGTTTAGGGTTTAGGTTTAGGGCTTAGGGTTTGGGGTTCAGGGTTCAGGGTTTAGGGTCGAACCCTCAACCCTTAACCCTCCCGCGTTCTTCTGCTGCGGCTTCTGGCGGATAAGGGGACCAGCGAGGCCCTTGGAGCGGCTTGGTTTGCCTTGCGCCGGGCCTAGATGAGCGAAGCACCCACTTCGCAGTGAAACAGTCCCTAAGGCTCTGAGGGCTCCTATGTTAGGGCTCTTGGGCCAATTGAACCTGACTACGCTAGATTTGTGTGGGACTATTTTAGCCTAAGGGAGTGAAACGATTAATTACTTGAAACATGCGTTCGGCTTTGAACCGAACGGCTTTGGTCACTTAGGTATACGCAGTATACTGAGCATGCGGGATTAATTTCAAAAATTATGTGACAGCGCTTGCCGTTTTAACCGCAGCCTTCAGTCACGCAGTGCCGGCTGTTCCTAGTTCATGGTTCGGATAGGATAAAAAATCTAAATTTCTATTCCTGATTGAGTTTAAGTACCCTTGAAAAGTGCAAAATGTTGCCCCGCTATGGCAAAGGGACGTCATCCTCTCCATAGATGGTCCGCTGGAAGGAGGTCTGGGTGTTGGCGAGCATGACCTCGTCCATGGTTGGGATAGTCTGAAAGAATTCTAAAGTTCCATTCCCTTTATTGAGTTTAAGTACCCTCAAATGTGTCATATTGAGTGAAAAAGTACCCTTAACAAGTGCAAAATGTTAGGGCTTAGGGTTTAGGGTTTAGGGTTTAGGGTTTAGGGTTTAGGTACCCCCCTCCCCCCACTATGGCAAAGTGGCCAAGAGCACCTCCTGAAATTCGCTGGACCGGATGCCCGCCAATGCCATGGAGGCGCAGAGTTTGGTGGAGAAGTTCATGGTCAGAAAGAAGAGGCACTCCTAGGGTTTAGGGTTTAGGGTGTAGGGTTTAGGGTTTAGGGTTTAGGGTTTAGGGTTTAGGATTTAGGGTTTAGGGTTTAAGGTTTAGGGTTCAGGGTTTAGGGAAGAGGCACTCCTAGGTTGCCCGAGGAACCTTAAAAATGGGGGGGCATAGGGTGCCCCTTTTCGGGGGTTAGATGGGGGTTTATAGAAGGGAACCTAGAAGCCTAAAGCCTAAAGCCTAAAGCCTAAAGCCTAAACCCTAACCCCTAACCCTAAACCCTAAACCCTAAACCCAAAAAAAGAAAGGAATGAGGGTACTACTATGGGCATCCTCGAGTCAAACTGCCACGAAACCACCCCGACAAGTCGAAAGAGATAGACCAGGCCGTAAATTCCAAAGATCACCACCTTGGCATATTCTGATAAGGGCACCCCTTTTTTTGGGTTTAGGGTTTAGGGTTTAGGGTTTAGGGTTTAATGTTTAGGGTTTAGGGTTTAGGGTTTAGGGTACCAAGCCACGAGGGCGATGGCAAGCAGTGGTCGTCCGAAGAGGTGGCTGTCGAGGTTAGCGGCTCGCCAGCGCTTGACCCAAAGGACCATGTCATGTGAAGCCTTGAAGTACCTAGACCCGGGAGTAACCTAGGAAGGAAGCCTAGGAATGAAAGGGTTTAGGGTTTAGGGTTTAGGGCTACTAGACCCGGGAGTAACCTAGGAATAAAAGGGTGCCCTTTTTGGTTTTCAGGGGATGATGAGGGAACCCCCAACCCTAACAAAAGGAAAAAAAGGGCCTACTGACGGTCCTAGGTACATCAGGAAAGACGCCGTCACCACCGCCCACTTGAGAGCACTTGATATGAAGGCCGCACACCACGCCTGGGCGCAGGATTGGGGGCCGTTTAAGCTTGCCTCCCTGAACCCCCTGCTCAGGGCTTTCCCCCTGAAGCCCCCTGCACCCCACCCTAAACTCCCCAACTCCCCCCTCCTTTACGAAACGGTTCCTGACCCCCCCTAATCCTCCCCCCTTCCCTGCATCTCCCAAAAGGGTTAGGGTTTAGAGTTTAGGATTTAGGGACAAGATGCCAAGAGCATGTAGACGTTTGTGAGGACCAGGGGCTCCGCTACCTCCGGCCAGGGTCGACCCAAGGAGATCTTGCCTGCCAAGACAAGCACTTGGAGTGTCGGGGGACTTGGTAAGTAGTTTTCGGGTTTCAAGTTTAGGGTTCAGGGTTTACGGTTTAGGGTTTAGGCTTTAGTAAGGAAGTTTCAGGGCTTAGGTGTGTTTAGTGCTTGGGGGGGGGACTTGACATGCCTGCCAAGATGAGCAGGATGGGCACATTCACCAGCCACTCCGCGTAGAAGATGGTGTACACCGGCATTCCGTCCAACTCGGGGAACTCCGAGACCTTACTTCTCCAATGAAGAAGGGGAAGACAAGGCTAAACTTTAGGGTTTAGGGTTTGCATTTCTATCAAAGAAGGAAACCCAAAAAAGTTTAAAGTTAAACCAAAGTCGAAGTAAGAGACCGATGCATGGAGGAACCAGGCAGAGTCTGCCGCATAGAAGGGCAGATTCTCCAGCAGGAGCACTGCAAAGCTGGTGCAGAGCAGTGCGGATGGGATCAAGGACTCCCTGACGTTCGGGATGAGGTCCTAGGATTGCCCCTAAAAGCCCTCTGAAAGATATTCCTAGATATAGTCTTCTTAAGCCCAATAAGGGAGAAGAAAACATGTCCCAAGGGCCTACCGAGGGTCGAGGGCTTTCTGCGCAGTTCTTAAGGTCAAGATCACAGAGGCAAGCTCATGCATCAGGACGGCACCGAGGCTTGCCGAAATAAGTGAGCTGTAGGGCACCAACTCGGTAGAGCTGCTGTGCTGCTCCTGGCACTTCGCTACGTTAGAGCAAAGCGAGGGCCGCACGGCTGCGTAGCAGAGCCCAGCCGTAAGAGCTGTTACCACAATCCAGGCTATCTTCCGACTGAGGAGTTGCTTGAACAGGGCACAGTCACCGGCAGTCTGCGCGGTCTCCTTAGCTGCCGAGTTCATAAGCCCCCAAAAAATGTACACTTTCAGTTCTATCGGGAAATATCGTATCCAAAAAAATGTAAAGTTATCCCCAAGAAAGTGTAAAGTGTACTCACTCAGCTGCTAAGTCTCGTCATGGACCGGTCCGACCTTGAAGGTGCTGTTCCCAAGGGTCGTAGCTCCTGCCCGGCCGGGCATCAACCTAGCGGATTCTGCGTCCCTGCCTTGGTGGCCCAGTGGCCCTGTTTGGTTTAAGGTTTAGGGTTTAGGGTTTAGGGTTTAGGGTTTAGGGTTTAGGGTTTAGGGTTTAGGGTTTAGGGTTTAGGGTTTAGGGTTTAGGGTTTAGGGTTTAGGGTTTATGGTCCCACCAGGGCGGGCCCCTGCAGAAAGGGTTCGACATAAAGAGTTGTGCCTGAAGAGTTGGTAGTCCAGTGGTATCTTGTTCCCTTGTAAAGTAACCAGGCCCGAAGAAGGCCCTTATCTTTACAGTTTAAAGTTTAGGGTTTAGGGTTTCGTATGGTTGCTGGGCCCTTATCTTAAAAGGGTTTCGGACTTTTCAGCAGGGAACCTTGAACCAAAAGGAAGGGACAAGGGGGTACCACTGGGCCACCAAGCTGCTGGGTAGCTGGTCTGGCTCGCCATTAGGCTGCGGGACGACCGGCGAGATTTTGGCCATTGCCGACACGAGGCTTGAAATTCCCTCTGAGCCAACACTGCAGCAAAGCTCAGGGTGCATGGGACTTACCCAGCGGGTAGGGGGGGGTAAGGGGGTAAGGGGGTAGGGGGGTCGGGGGTGGGGGGTAGGGGGCAGGGGGCAGGAGAGGGGGGTGACCAAACAATAAACCCTAAACCCTAAACCCTGATGATTTCTGCTGCTTAGACTTCGGCCCGGAGAGCGGCCATCTGGCCGAGCGCGGGTTTAAACCTCTGCTTTTGCAGCATTAGGGCTATAGGGTTTAGGGTTTGGGGTTTAGGGGCTTAGGACCTAGGACTTCGGGCTTGGGGCCTAGAGAATGCAGGGTTTCGGCGGGTTTCGGCCTTATGGCACTTTAGTCACATTTAGCAACTGCTGGGGGTTGTTTCCCCGTCATTGGCGGGAGGACAACCTGCTGAGTTGTAGGATTCCACGAGATCGCCGGGCTTAGAATTCAGAGTTTCATGCAACCTGCGCATGTCTATTTGGAGGTGCTTCTCGCAAGGTGATGCTGGGGAATTGAGGTGGGATGAGGGTTCATTTGGATGTTAAGGGCACTTACCCCAAACCCTAAACCCTAAGCCCCTTTTGTTGGAAGTACATTTAGAAGTGGGACCCTAAACTCTAAACCCTAAGCCCTAAACCCTGAACCTTCAAAGTAGGGGTGCAAGACAGCGGCAAAAAGGGGTTTAAGGGTTGAGGGTTTGGGGTTACAAGGTTTAGGGTTTTGGAGTTTAGGGATATAGGGTTGTAGTTATAAAGGCCGGTGGCCTCTGTATCTGTTGCACTTATGCCTTAATGTAGCCCCTAGATGCCCTTGTAAGAACCCCTTATAAAACAGAAACCCGACTTGAAGACGCCACCAACCCATAGAAGGTTGCGGGGTTTAGGATTTCGGGTTTAGGATGGTGAAGCTCACGAGCCCTATGCATCCAAAGGGCTCAATGAGCACCGGCAACTCTATGCAAACTTTAAGTAACCTTTAGGGGTCAGGGGTTTAGGGTTTAGGGTTTAGGGTTTAGGCTTTAGTGTTTAGGGTTTAGGGTTTGGGGTTTAGGGTTTATTTAGGGCTTAGGCCTAAACCCTCAGCCGCAAGCAGAGCCGGAGGACTCGGATAAAGGCCGTAACACTCAGTCCCTTCTGATCTGGGAGTACCCTTGGGGTCGTCTGGGCTACAAGGGCGGGTCTCTATCTTGAGAAACAGACATCCGCCCTAAACTCTCAATGCTAAACAAAGAACATAGGAAAAGCATCTCAATCCTAAGCCCGAATCCCTGAAACCTCTAGCCCCTATGAAAACGCCATAAAGCCTCTAAACCCCAAAAGCCCAGTAGAGCCTATAAACCCTGTAAACACACCATAACCTCCTGTCAACACAGAAATAGACCAGTAGACCCTGTCCCTACGCCCAAACAAACAACATGCCTTGGGATGATTCCCCTTCTACTAACAGTCCTGAATAGGGAATTCTCTAATAGGGGCTACGATACTGAGGTAGTACTATAGTCCCTATTAAGGAGGTACTATTATCCCTACTAAGGAGGCTATCCTTATTAAGGAGGTACTCTAATGCCTACTAAGGACTGTTAGTAGAAGGGGGAACCTCCCAAACCATGCACTCCTTGAGTCGTCAAGCGGCGAGGAATTCGCGCATGCTGTACAGACCCCGAAGGAGAACCTGGGCGGCGGTCTTGTTTTGCAGGGTTTTTGTAGGGTTTATGTAGGGTTTATAGGCACTTTTGGGTTTTGTAGGGTTTGTAGGGTTTATAAGGCTTTCAGGATTTATGTAGGGTTTTATAAGGCTTTGGGGGTGTATGTGGGGGTTTGTAGGGTTTAGAAGGCTTTGAGGGTTTATGTAGGAGTTTGTAGGGTTTTCTAAGGCTTTGAGGGTTTTAGGGTTTATAAGGTTTAGGGTGCTTTGGGTTGCTGGGGTTTAGGGTTTATAGGGTTTATGGGGTTTATAGGGTTTGTAGGGTTCATAGGGTTCATAGGGTTCATAGGGTTCATAGGGTTTATAGGGTTTATAGGGTTTATAGGGTTTATAGGGTTTAGGGTTCAGGGTTTACAGTTTCTGGGGCCTCCAGGGTTTGCAAGGCTTTGGGCTTATGTAAAACAAGGGGTTTAGGGTTTAGGGCAGGGACTGCTACCTGCTCCATTCATGGTCATGCCTGCTGAGATCTACTGTGCCTGGAGGTAGCAGCGACATCAGACTGTGCACTGCCCAAAAGGACTCCCCCGCAAAGAAGGGCTCATCCGGAAGGTTTAGGGTTTAGGGTTTAGGGTTTAGGGTTTAGGGTTTAGGGTTTAGGGTTTAGGGTTTAGGGTTTAGGGTTTAGGGTTTACAATAGCCCTTAAGCCGGAAGACTCTGGGGGCCGGGCGCCACAGTGAAATTGATCCGCGTGCCATTGACCCGCACTTCGTTCTCCGCATCAAGCCTTGCCGTCCCCTCAACCCTAAACCCTAAACCCTAAACCCTAAGCCCTAAACCCTAAACCCTAAACCCTAAACCCTAAACCCTAAACCCTAAACCCTAAACCCTAAATCGCAAAGCCTGAGACCTGTTGACCTTGAGAGGGTAGAGTACCAAAACTCACTCACCCCGAACCCCCAAATCCCAACGCCCCAGCGCCCTCCAAACCCTAGCCCTGAACCCCAAACTTAAAACCCTAAACTTGGGATGTTACCCCTTTACTAACAGTCCCTATATGTCCTATTATGATGGGGTGTACCATAATGCCTACTAAGGACTGTTGGTATAAGGGGGAACATCCCAACCGAAAATCCGCAAAAAAAAATCAACCCTACCCCTGGAGCCCTAAGAACCCTGCTGCACCAGGCAAAGCCTCAAAATCTTAACCTCAAAACAGCAAAGCCGTGAACCCGAATCAAAATGTTGCTGACCGCCTGAAACCCCAAGTCCCGAAAGCCCCAACCCGCCACACCCCAAACCCTAAACACAGAGCCTTCACCAACACCGAGTTTGCCAAACAATCTCACATGGTCCCCTCAAACCTCCCGACAACAATGTGCCGAAAAAAACCCAAACATGTCGAGCACAAAGACTTACAGACCCGACACTGCCAATAAATGCACCAACGACGTGCCCAAAATCACGCCCAAGCCGCCTCGAAAACCCTGAACCCTGAACCCTAAACCCTAAACCCGAAACCCCAAACAACCCAACACGTTTAACATGCCACGCAGGCCCCCAAGAACTCCCCAAAGCCATTGCAAACACCGAAACTCACCCAAAACTGTCCTGACACGAATCCCATACAATTTCTGTAAACCCCCGCACCCTAAACCCCAAACCCGAAACCCCTAAACCCCTAAACCCTAAACCCTACACCCCACACGCTAAACCCTAAACCCTAAACCCTAAACCCGAAACCCGAAACCCGAAACCCGAAACCCTAAACCCTAAACCCTAAACCCTAAACCCTAAACCCTAAACCCTAAACCAACCACACCCTAAGCCCCTCCCTGAGCGACGGGCATGGCGTCGATCGCAGAGAGGACGCCGCGGCAAAACTTCTTTGGCTCGTGCAGGCCCGGCCTTCTGGTTGCTAGGGCTTTGTGAAGGTTTTAATATCCCTAAACCCTAAACCCTAAACCCTAAACCCTAAACCCTAAACCCTAAACCCTAAACCCGAAACCCTAGGCCTTTAAGGGTTGAGGCTTAGGTCTTTCGGCTTTGGTGGTCTGGGGAGCAGTTTAGGGTTTAGGTGCTGGCAGGCCTAGGGTTCAGGGTTCAGGGTTTGGGGTTTGGGGTTGAGGGTTTAGGGTTTAGGGTTTCTGAGGTTTAGGGGTTTGTGGATTGGGGCGGCTAGGTACACTGATGTATCTGGTTTTGTTTAGAGAGAGTTTGAGAAGGTTTTGGGATTCTTGTTGTTCTGGAAACAAACAACGAAGGATGATCAGGCCTCTCTCGTTTTATCAAATTGGGCTGTAGGATCACCCTAAACCCTAACTCCCAAACCCTAAACCCTAAACCCTAAACCCCAACACCCTAAGCCCTAAACCCTAAACCCCAAAACCCCAAAACCCTAAACCCTAATCCCCGAACTCTCACCAGGCTTCAGGCAATTTCAGGTCCGGCTCGTTGATGACAATGATCTCCCGAAGCGCTGGGTGATATCTGCCTCAAGAAGGTTTAGGGTTCAGGGCTTAGGGTTTAGGGCTTAGGTTTTAGGGTTTAGGGTTAGGGTTTAGGGTTTAGGGTTTAGGGTTTAGGGCATAGGGCATAGGGCTTAGGGCTTAGGGCTTAGGGTTTAGGGTTTAGAGTTCCGGGTTCAGGGTCCAGGGTTTAGGCTTGAGGATGCGCATGGGGTCTTGGCGGGTGGGGCTTTGTCTGGTTGCTCACCGACCCCTTCGAAACAAATACGTACTGCCGTGGCCCAGCCAAGCGTCAACCCTAAACCCTAAACCCCAATCCCTAAACCCCAAACCCTAAACCCTAAACCCTAGACCCTAAACCCGAAACCCTAAACCCCAAACCCTAAACCCGATTTTAGGGGTCCTGGGCTCTTTGGAGGGGGGCCTTCCAGAAGGAAGCCATTTTGAAGCAGCTGCTTGTAGGAGCTCTTGACCTGCCAAGGGCATTCTGGGCGTGGGGTTTAGGGTTTAGGGTTGAGGGTTTAGGGCATAGGGTTTGGGGCTTAGGAGATTGCGTCATGATCCAAGGTACCCCATAACTAAACTCCACAAAGCTTCTCTCAGATTCCCTTAGACCCTCCCGCGAGAACCTTGCAAGGTGAGGATGTGGCTAAACCCTAAACCCTAAACCCTAAACCCTAGACCCTAGACCCTAAACCCTAAACCCCTAAACCCTAAACCCTAAACCCTAAACCCCAAACCCTTACCTTCAGGGATTTAGGGTTCAGAGATGCTAGGAATACAGGGATGAGGGTGTTTAGGACTTGAAGGTGATGTTTCAGGTTTCAGGTTTAGGGTTTAGGGTTTGGGGTTTTCGAGTTGAGAGCTTCGGGCTTATTGCTGTGGGCGTTTAGGGTGCAGGATTTCGGGGTCTGGGATTGAGGGAGTCCCAGATCAAGCTGAACCCCCTTAAAGGGACATTCAAGCAGGAACCCCCTGGACCCCAAACCCTAAACCCTAAACCCTAAATCCCTTATTCTGGGAAAGCCGGCTGGCCTGGTTGTAGCAATTGAAATCGGTCGTCAGGCAGTTGGTCGGGCTCTGGATGAAGTCGTAGTCGCTTAGACCTTATAGGGTTTAGGGTTTAGGGTGTAGGGTTTGGGTTTCGGGTGTCGGGTGTAGTGCTTAGGCTTTGGGCCCTAAACCCTATAAAATCCGATTCGCCCTACAAACCCAACCCCTAACTGAATAAACCCTACACGATAATCAGCCCTGTAAACTGAATCCCAAGCCCTAAAAACTTCAGTGTTGAGGGGCTTAGGAGGGGCCCCGTTTGGGTAACTTCTCTTGGTCAAAAGCCCTACCTGGAGAACCTCCCAGCAGACTTTCTTGTAATTCACTGAGGTTTGCTCTGAGTTTTGAACCCTAAACCCTAAACCCTAAACCCAAAACACTAAACCTTAAACCCTAAACCCCAAACCCCAAAGCCTAAACCGCATAAACCCTATTCGGGCTTAGAAGCGCCTCGAGGTTTTTATAGGACTTGGGGCTTCGGACGCCATTGCCGAACCCCCGCCCCAAAACCAAAGAAACAGAGCTCACTCACTCACTCACAGGCTCTGAGGCGTCCAAACTGTCCATGTCTCGCAGTGACACCGTAGAGACAACGCTACACACATACCTCCGCTACAGCGGGCGCCTCATACAGAGGCGATCTGCGGGTCCTGTGACCCGGCTCAAGATCTAGTCGGGCCACCAAGGCACTAGACCCTAGTGGCGCGACTAGACACACAGAGCACCCAACTGCTCTGCGCCCAAGAAAGGCCCCTGAAAACTACAAGGCAGCTGCGTTCACAGACCCCTCACTTGTGCTCCCTTCGGCGGCGCGCCCGACGAAGAAGTCCCTCCAGATGCATGGATCACGAACTCGATGAACGGCATCACCTGAGCCAAGGCCCCGTGCGGCTGGAACTGGACTGTCAGCACATACTTGGTGTCCTTCTTGGCCTTCCAGAAGTTGCAAGCGATGACTTCGGGCTCCATGGCCGTCGGTGTGGCCATGAGGGGGAACATCAGCTTGAGCATCTCGTGCTGCTCCACGAGGGACGGCCGGCGCGCTGCTGCAAGAAGCTTGTCCGTCTGGGCCAGAACTGCTTGCTCGTCCTGAGAAAGTCGCTGCAACTCGCGCTCTGCCGCAAACTTCACGAGGGCTCCTGCTAGAGTGGTCTTGCGATGCTTGTCCGGATGCGGTTTGCCCTTGCCGGGGCTGCGCCCATCGTAGTAGGCCGCTGCAGCCTGCATGGCTTGGGCCAGTCCGCATCCCTCCAGAGGCAGAAAGAAGCACGGCGTGGCACCTTCGAGCTGGCGCAGACGGTAGTCCAAGTTCTCCATCATGCGGACGAGCTTCTTGTGGTTCGCCGTGGGATCCTCCGTTCTGGGTCTCTTGCTCTGCTCCGTCGGCTGCATGGACACGTCCCCCGCGCCGTTGCCGATCCACATGTCGAGCTGGCTGGAGCAAGGCAGTTCCTGAGTTTCCTGGGCCTCGATCCACTGCACATGGGCGGTCACGAGATGCTCGGAAATGACGCTTGGCAGATGACATATTATAGAAAACTTTCGAGCACTTGGGGCATTGATTGGTCTGCACTTCAGTACACACAACCTTCTTATGCTTCGCAACTTCGTGCAGGTTGAGGGCACGACGGGTGTCAAAACTTCGGGCGCAAATTGCGCACCGGACCCCTTCACCCTGAACATCTACTACCCATCCTAAGTCTGGAGGGGTCGCCGGATCCTGGCGAGCGTCTGCTTGCGGAGCATCGTCAGTCATAGCACTGGGCCGCGGCGGCAACTCCACAGTTTTGAGCACCCATGAAAATGACGGGTCACATTCCAGAAGCAGTTGCATCCAGCCAGGCTGAAAAGCATGGAACTGAGGCACTGCCGCCGCAAGGTCATCATACATCTGTCGCAGGGCTGGAACAGCATGCTGCACGGGCTTGCCAAAGTCATCCAACTCATGACGGCAAATTTCCAGCTAAAACGCCCGAACATGGACGCGAAGTATAGCTTGTGATGGTTGGGATGCTGCACCATGTGATGCAGCCACCGCAGTCGTCGCTGGCGCAGTGTGCTGGCAATCGTGTGAATCCGCATGCGTGCCCGAATGAGCGAGTTGGGAACAGACTCATGGCGGGGATCTCCCCGGACAGCTCCCCAGCCTGCTCTGCCAAGGGCCCGTCTTGCAAGGTGGTCGCGCGCACGTTCTAAACGTTGCAGAGCTGTTTTTGGCAGCAGGTACGGCTCCAGTCCGGAAAGTCCTGCCCCTTGCACCATGGCTTTGAAAAACAAACGCTTCGCATAAAGCGATACGTTTTTACAGCGCCAAATGCCAGCATAGGCCCAGAAACCCACCCGCATGGCTGAGATGCGCTTATCAATCTCCGTGTTCTTGTTGCCATTGTTGTGCACCCAGCCCCCCAAGTATCTCGCAACTCCAAGCTTTTTTCCAGGCGTGACCTTGTTGGGAAGCATGGCCGCCTTGCGGTTAGCATGTGCCCCAGCACCCATCCATCTCATGACCACCTCCTCCTTAGAAGGCTCCAGCTGGCACCCCACGCCTCCAAGCTCTGCTTCAAGCAGGGCTGTGCGCGCGACGGCCTTGTCATCGAGCTCCTCAGCCGAGTCTGCCACCATGAGCTCAGCAATGTCGTCAGCATACGTGGTCATTGCCGCATCAATCACGTCGTTGCCATACTCGAGGAGCAGGTCATCGTCCTGAATGGCCGTCTTGTACGCCTGGAGCGGAACGTGGTAGACATCCATGAAGATGTCGCCGGCGATCGTGTCACCCTGCCTTGTTCCACGTGCCATGCGCCATTTTCGCAAGCCACATCCCGGCACTCGCAAGCCCAACAGCGAATTGGCATGGGCATCCATGATGAGGTCATGCGCCGCACCTTGAGATCGCACATGCTGAGCAATGGCCTCATGGCTCAAACTGGGAAATGCATTGGCAGCATCTCTGAAGAAAATGGCATGGTTGCGTTTGCTTCGACGGCATCGAAACATGTTGTTCTCAACTATGGCCAATGCCTCTTCACGGCGTCGCCCCTTGATGCACCCAAACGCCCAGTCAGGTCGAGGGGTCGTTGCACATGCCTGGTAGAAGGTCTTATGCACTTGTTTAGCCAGGGAATCAAGGCGCGCAATGGGACGTTTGCCTTGGCACTTGGGCTTGCCGTTGCCTTTGTCAATGGGCAGCACTGGCACGTCATACCACCTGCTGGGATTCCTGCCAGTGCGTGCAAGCTGTCGGAAGAACTGCTCATGGATATCTCGAGCAAAATCTGGCAAGCATCCAAAAATGAGTTTCCAGACCTCCGACGGCATAGAACCTTCAGGAACTGAACGGTTGTTGCCGGCACCCAGGACGTTGCGGCGGAAGTCACGGAGAGGGGGCAAATCCACATGCGCAGGATGTCGAGGTGCCTCGTGGCGGAACTTCAGCAAGCGCTCAGGCACTGGCTCTGCCAAAAAGGCCTGCCGCATATATGCGTCCCACTCTGCAGCAGAAATTGGCTCAGCATCTGGAGGTCGGTATACTCGCCGCTTCGGACCTAAGCCTGTGCGTGCTATTGCTCTACCCACTCGCCAGACTTGACGCCAATGTCCATGTTGCGCAGCTGCATTCATGTCGTTTGCGAGGGAATCGACGTGCGCGCGCTTGTCAGCCACGCAAGCTCGGCGTATTGCACGTCTAATGCGACCGAGCCAAGAGCAACGCGACCAGGCCTGGAACACCTGGGCGACCCCCACACGCACCGAGCAAACATGCGCTGCCCAATCTTTTAGCTGACGGTCTCTGTAGCTGATGAGGTCCCATGTGGTGGCAGACATCCATGGCTTTGAAGCACCTCGGCAAACAGAGAAGTGGCGTGTGGCAATGTTCATGATCCCGTCATTCAGCAAGTTCCATGTGCGTGAAGGGTCCTCCTCTGCAGCACAGAGTGAGAAAAGCTCAGAGTTGCGCAATCGCCACTCCTGCACATCCTGCAAAAAAGGCGTCCGCACGCTACAGTCATCGAGAGCATGCCTCAATGAGCCAAAATGCCAACTGGTATCCGTTTGCGGCGACTGTCCAGGCTTGAGTTTGACTTCGTAGGGGAAATCCACTGCTAGCGGAGCATGGTCAAGCATGACTGTGCCATTGCCAGGCTTCAATGCAAAGCCCAAGTCATACAGCACCGTGACTGGCGACATGTCCTGTCCACTCTTGGCTAGTATGTGGTCCGGACGGGTGCGCTGACCATTGACACCCCAGAAAGTGCAGCCGTTCCAATCATCGCAAGGTAAGCCGCGGATCCGAGATTTCCACGTGTCCAGGACCACAAGACCGTTCGGGACACATAGCTCACGCAAGCGCTCACCATTGACAGAAGGCTCAGCAGCAGGGTAGCACGGCCCAACGCGCGCGTCCGCTGTGAATGTGGGATCGCCGTTGGCATCAAGCCCGCAGATAACCGTACTCCTCGCGGGCGCTTGCTGGACCACAGAATGCATGGCATCCCAGAATTCAGACAAGGCTTCCTCAGGCGCAGTGGTCTGGGGCGCATATGCTCCGACGACAACCAAGTCTGCGTCATGGAGAGCCCGGCCAGTGCGAATTCGCAAAGCTCCTAAACGCCCAGCCAGCTTGTACGGCGGATCATATCTCCACACCACGGCTTGCGGGGAAACGAAGCTGCAATTGAGGGCGATGGTGATGCCACAAGCCTTATTCGTGAATTGCCCTTGGCTGTAACCCCATGAAACAATGTAAAACTGCCGGTCATGAGAAAAACCTTCCCAGCGTGACGGGGTGCAATTGTCATCATGTTGAACACCGTTGTGTGGAACAGACTTCTTCCGCATGCGAGTGCCCTGTAAGACAATGATGTCATAATCACTGAAAGCGCTCAGAACAATACGCAGCCTTTCACCCACTAGCGAGTTGCAGTTGTAACTAACCATGCGCACACGTGCACGGCACCGAAGCTTGGGCTGAGGCGTGGGGCAGGAGGTTGGTTGTTCTGCGTCCACCAAGCACGTGTCGATGCAAGGCGTCGGCGCACATCAGCAACGACTTGGGCGTCAAAGTGTTGGGCCAGATCAGCCTCTGTGGCTATTTTTTGCCCTTTCCAGTACGTTGCCCCTTTCAGGAAAAATTGTCTCAGGCGCTGACGGATAGTGGCTTTGCCGCGTCCGCGGCGTTGCCAGTACCCCTCAAGTTCTTGGGTATCCCTACTTTCGGCCGCCTGGTATTGTTGGAGACTGATGAAGCCTTCGCTGGAGAGCACCACCTCCCCAGCAACGGTCCCCTCCCCCGGCGCCTCATCCATCACCGAGAAATGCCAGGGCTGCGGACTTCCGACCGCAGTCGTGCCTGAGATGTCCACGGCCTTAGCGTCCTTCAGCAAACCTCCCTGATATATCCAGATCAAGTATGCGAAAAGGAGAAAAGCATGGCTCGGTAGACTCTGCATCTTGTCTCTACGGGTGCTTGGCACGAGAGGGCTAAGAAACAGAGCAATAATAATCACATCAAAAATCCGCCGACCCCAGCAACAGCGGGGCGGCGTCAGTGAAGACCCTCCCTGCCCTCACCGCAACCTCTTCCCCCTTCCCCTTCCCAACCATTCCACTCCACCTCTCCACTTGGCCTTGCCTTCTGCCCCTAACCTCCCACCACCAACCCCTTCCCCTGCCCCCCCTCCCCTTCCCAACCATTCCACTCCATCCCCCTCCCCTACCCCTTCCCCATCCCTGCCCCCACCCCAGGGCTCCAGTGCCCCACCCCCCCCACCCCCCCACCCCCCCCCACCCCCCCCCACCCCCCCACCCTCCCCTTTCACCAACCTTCTCCAGCCACTTACTCCACCCCTCTCCCTGCTGTTTCAGGGCAAATCCACGCCCTCCCCCTTACTCCACCCCTGCCTTCTTCCCCCCAATCCACCCACCACCAACCCCTTCCCCGCCCCTAACCCTCCCACCACCAACCCCTGCCCCCTTCCCCCTTCCCCATGCAGGCCTACCCTCTCCAGACCAATCCACGTGCCTTCCACCCCCCCTCCCCCCACCCCCCCCCCCACCCAACCCCCCACCCCCCCTGGCCCTAGTGGCTCATGGCCACCTGCTGGCTCATGGCCCCACAGTTTTACGGGCCTCTGGCCCGATCAGATGACTGACTTTAAAGGGCTCCAGTGCATGCCCGCCCCCTCCGCTTGCTCCGCCCGCTCCGCTTGCTCCGCCCTTCCCTCCCACCCCCCCCCCCCCCCCACCCCCCCGCCCCCCCACTCTGCCGCCCCCAGCACCCCCCCCCCACCCCCCCCGCCCCACCCGGCTGCAGGTAAGGGTTTCGGTTTTAGGGTTTAGAGGTTCTTAGGTAAGGTTTGGTTTAGGGTTTAAGGACGTTTGGTTGAGGGTAGGGTTTAAGCGTTTTGTGGTTGAGGGTTGAAGGTTTTAGGTTGTTCTTTTGCGTGTGAGGGTGAAGGTTTGGCCTTAGTAAGGAAAACGAAACATGTGGCTGAAACGTTTGCGGAACATCACGTATGTACGGGGGGTCAAACCTTTTGTTTGCAAATAAAAAAACACTTACGGCTCTTGTTCTCAATGTCTTCTTCAGAAAATGCTCCAAGTTTGGGGCTCCGAGATCAAAGTTGCATACCGCATCAGAGGGCTCTGTCCAAGGATTGAAGTGGCAAATTTCTTGGTCTGTGCAAAGAATGAAGCGGCAAACCCATAGGTACGTAAGCAGAAATCCAGGCCCAGATGCAACGAAGGCTACAACCTAGACCCTGATGGATTTAGGGTTTGGGGTCTAGGGTTTAGGGTTTACTGGGTTTAGGGTTTAGCGGGTCTCGAGGTTTAGGAATTGGAGCTCAGGAGGGTTTAGACCTTGGACAATTTGGGGTCGGCGGCACTGGCGGTAGCCATTAAATCGGGCAGCGCGAGGTCCCCAAAGGACCGAGCAAATGCGGACCTTTTAGCCCGGGTCGTCCCGGGAATAGCCTTGCTGGCCTTTGGCCTTCTGCGAAGCAGAATTAGGCCGGACGCCAGTGCCGCCGACCCCCGCGTGCCGCCGGTGAACGGTTTTTTTTTCGTGGTTTTTTGCGTCGCCACGGAGGCCCCCAGAGGGCGCGCATCATGAGCATCAGCGGGTCCAGCCCGGGACCCCCAGGCGCGCATCAGGAGCATCAGCGGCTCCCGGGGCGGGACCGCGGGGGGGCATCAGGAGCATGATGCCCCCCAAAGGGCGGGCATAAGCGACGTGTCTAAGCCCGGGGCTAGGAAAAAGGGAGTTTAGGGGCCTTCTCAAGTGCTTAGAAACGTTAAGGGAGTCTCGGAGCCTCAAACGCTTAGAGATTTGAAGGGAGTTTAGGGGCCTGAAAATGTTTAGAAACTTAACGCTTAGAGATTTTAAGGGAGTTTAGGGGCCTCAACATGCTTAGAAACTGCTCGCCGCGGGCTTCTGCGTGCGCTGCCCGCCCATGGGCGCAGCCCCTTAAAATAATAATCATCATGGAAATAATAATAATAATAACAACAGTATTTATGTTACTTCGAACATGCCCACCCTCTCTAGGTAGAGGTACTCTGGGGTTGGGCACTCCAGGGACACTCTGTTGGGCACTGCAGCTGGGGCTGGGCTGTCCAGGGACACTCTGCAGTTGGGCGCTCCAGGGATGAGCGAGGAGTGGACCGGGCGAGGAGAAGAGTTCCGGGCGACCAGAAGAGTTGAGCTCAACATCTAACAACCCCACAACCGAGGGTGGGGAATAAATACAAGTATGATGATAAGAATACGGAAACCCCTAAACCCTAAACCCTAAACCCTAACCCCTAATCCCTAACCCCTAGCCCCTAACCCCTAACCCCTAGCCCCGAACCCCTAACCCCTAACCCCTAACCCCTAACCCCTAACCCCTAAACCCTAAACCCTAAACCCTAAACCCTAAACCCTAAACCCTAAACCCTAAACCCTAAACCCTAAACCCAGCCCTGAAACCCCCGAAATCCCTGCACCCCAAGCACTGAGTCGGGTAAGGCTGGAGCCAGGCACCACTGCTAACCCCAGCTCCTGCGCAAAAGGCATGCCCAGGTTAAGTTACTAATTTAGGATTTAGGATTTAGGGTTTAGGGTTTAGGGTTTAGGGAGAAGAGACCCAATGATTTAGATCAACCCCATGCAGGGGTTTAGGTTTCAAGGGCAGGGTTTAGGGTCTGGGTTAAGGGTTTAAGGGGCGAGGGTTTCGTGTGGGGGCTTAGGGCTTTAAGGGGTAGGGTGTGAGGTTTGCTAGACAGCAACCTCGGAAAAAAGGTGGTGCCCATTTTGGGCTTACAAAGGGCGTAGAAGGGAACCTGACCCCTAAAACAAGGAAGAAGGGCCTACTTTGAGTCCTCGTAGCCCTAAACCCTAAACCTACTCTGAGTCCTAGTAGCCCTCAACTGATACTCGACATAGTTTCTCTGCACTGATTGCGGTGGTAAGGCGTCAAGTCATGATAAGCCTGTGGAACGAGCCTGTCACGAGAACATTCGGAGGCAGTTGGCAGTAATGAGGGTTCAGCGGTGTAAGGGTTTTGGGGTTGTGGGTTTAGGGTTTAGGGCATGTTTTAAGGTAGCGGTGCGGGTTTTTTTTTTGGGGGGGGGTTCTTGGAAGCCTCAAAAAGTGATGAGTTTTGCGGCCCCCTTCTGGCAACCTCTGTCTTCAAGAACATTTTTTGCCTTTCCCAAGGGCTTCAGGGCTCTAGCGTCTGGAGGGTTTTCTTACCTCTGGAGTAGACCCAGGAAAAAAGTATGTACTTTTTAGGTATAAGTAGCTATAACGGGAGCCCAAAACCAAAAAATGTATTAAAGTATAGTACTCCAAAGCCCAGATGTTGTGGAGCCTGGGAGTCCATATGAATTCAGTTTAACGGGATTGCAGAAACCGCACGACACCATGATTGGTGCCTAAGCACTTCAACTTTCTGTCCAAGAAATCACGCTACCCCAAATCCAGACTCCTCAACCAAGAAACCCGAAACCGCAGCCCTCTAACCAGTAACCCTGTACCTGAAAGCCGCGGCCTTCTCCGGCCTACTCCAATCAACCCAACCCTTCTTTTTCCAAACCAACCAACCTTGCACAGTGTCTCTGCACCCCGGTAGCTTGGATCTGCACGTCCTTCACCTAATCTTGCGCAGCACTGCTGTCGCCCCCACTTTCAAAGAGCTCCAGGACACAACAGACCCATTGCCCAGAATGGCAGCAAACGCCACTTCGTTAGCTTGGATCTGCTGCACGTCCTTCAGCCGACCTTGCACAGCACTGCTGTCGCCACCATGCTCAGCATAGCCCCAGGTCACAACAGACCCATCGCCCAGAATGGCGGCAAAAGCCGTGGCCGTAGCTTGGACCCGCTTGACGTTCTTCAGCTGATTTTGCACAGCACTGCTATCTCCACCACAAGCAGCAATCCCCCAGGCCACGACGGACCCATCACCCAGAATTGCAGCAAAAGCCCAGCGGGTAGATTGGATCTGCTGAACGTCCACCAGCTGATCTTGCACAGCACTGCTGTCGCCACCAGCAGCTTCATCGCCCCAGGTCACAACAGACCCAGCACCCAGAATGGCGGCAAAAGCCGTGGCCGTAGCTTGGACCTGCTTGACGTTCTTCAGCCGGCCTTGCACAGCACTGCTGTCACCACCAACGGCAGCATCACCCCAGGTCACAACAGACCCATCGCCTAGAATGGCAGCCCAACCCGTGCTTGTAGCTTGGAACTGCTGCACGTCCTTCAGTTGACCTTGCACAGCCCTGCTGTCGCCACCATGTTCAGCTTAGGCATAGCCCCAGGTCACACCAGAGCCATCACCCAGAATGGCAGCCAAAACACTCTTGTGACCGTGAACGCGAACGCTTCCCCTCTGCAAGGTGAGTGTGTCGCCGCTCTGCAAACTACATTCTTCAAGCGTGGATGCTGCATCCAGCACGCGTCCGGAGGAGTCCAACAGCGTGGCCCTGCCAATGGCCAGAGCCTTCCGTGCTCTCTTTTTCAATGACTCTACAGACTCGTCCGCTCCTGCTTCCAGAGAAACCCTCTTGCCACTTAGGAGAGTCACCTCAATCGTAAGTGGCCTCATGTGGAGTCTGCTTTCGGTGGGGTCTCTTGCATCATCACAGGAAGGGTGGCAGTAAGCTTGTGCAGGAGTTACCCTGAATTTCAGGTCGTAGCTCGTGCGCTATGTCTGTGAAGCCCTAGTGATCTGGCTCTCAAACCTTGATCTGTTGGCAGCGGATCGAACAAGCATCTTATGCGACCACTTGCGACTATCATCTTGGCGTGTCTGCGACTGCACTTCTTCCCGGTCTTCCCTCAATTCTACACACACTTAGGGCAGGGGGATAGTTCTGTGCAAGGTGGATCCCTCAACCCTGGTCCTAAATCCGGGCTAGGGTTTCGCGTTCAGGCTTCGGGCGTTAAGGGGTAGGGTGTGGGGTTTACTAGAGCAAGAGAAACCCAGGGAAAAAAAGGGGGTGCCCTTTTTGGGCTTAAAGGGGGCTCATAAGGGAACCTAACCCCTACACTGAGTCCTAGTAGCCCTAAGCCCTAAACCAATTTAAGGGAACCCCCCCCCCAAAAAAAAAAAAAAAAAAAAGGTCTTGGTGAGTTTGTTGTGTTTGTATCGGTTGGGCCGGGAGTTTGAGTTTGCGGTGTTTTGTGCGTGGGTTTTCGGGGTCTTTGGCTGGCTTCAGTTATCTACATAAATTCCTGGTGCTTGTATTCTCAGGTTTGGGTTTGAGGGGCCGTCTTCGACCTCACTACGGATGGCGGCGGTGACTCAACAAGGTAACTCTGTTTGCTTACAATGGCCTAGAGTGCAGGGCTTGGGCTTTTATTGTGAGTTCTCAAAATTATGATTCGTCCCTTTTTGGGGTACCCTCAATAACAGTAACTTCAAAAGGGACCATCTTTTAGAGAAGTGACCATGTGGCTGTCGGATGAGGGGCAGCTCTGAGGTGGGTGCAGCATCGCTTGAAGTTCGCTCAGTGCGCCTTGGCTTCGTCCAGGAAGTCTCGGTGGGTGTTCTCTGGATTGTTCCCGTAGAGACCTTGGTGGGGTTGAGGGTTTAGTGCAAAAGGGTTTGGGGTTCAGGGTTTAGGGTTTGGTGTTTTTTTTAGGGTTTAGGAACCTTGGGGAAAGACCGACACTAGCTGGGCACTTTGAACGGTCGGCACTTGAAAGGGAGTAAGCGAGCCTATCCTGCAGATCCTGCATGCGGTGGCCAAAGCCGGAACCCCAAACACCCTCAGCCCCAAACCCTAAACCCTAAACCCTGAGATCTGGGGCCCTAAAGCACCCAGCCCATCAGCGTGGAGCTCTAACCTGAGAGCTGCGCGCACCGTGTTGGCCCCAAGCTGCCGAATGATCTGCGTGGGTTTGACGGTTTGAAGGCTTTTTGCGCGGCGTACTTGGAGGTGCAGAGCACTTATAACCCGAAGTATAACTTTACTTATAAGCCCCCTAAGTCCTCTAAGTAGGTTCTGAGTAGACTTAAAATTGAAGTTAAAACCATGAACCTCCAAGTAGGTGTGGACTTAGGCGTTGAGAGGGCGAAGGGTTTCGGGCTTGGGAAGAGGAGCCATGTTTCCCCCCAGAGTAGGAGGAGGATCGTCTCTAACTCAACTTGCTTGGGTTAAACCCTCAACCCTAAACCCTCAACCTCATACCCTAAACCCTAACCCTATGTGGAGTTGGGGGGGTTAAGGGTTTAGGACTGACGCAGGGTGGGAGTGAGAGCAAACACACGTCGCCAGTCAGGAAGGCGCCGGAGAATCCTAAACCCCATTCTCAAGGGCGGTTTAGGGTTTAGGGTGTAGGATTTTTTTGTTTTAGAGTTTAGGGTTTAGGGTTTAGGGTTTAGGGTTTAGGGTTTAGGGTTTAGGGTTTCGGGTTTAGGGTTAGGGGGGGTTCAAGGGGGGTAGGTACCGAGGGAACCTTAGGGAAGCTTGGGGAGTAGTGGGAAGTATGAGGGAAGCTTGGGTTACATACAACCCTAAACCCTAAACCCTAAACCCTAAACCCTAAACCCTAAACCCTAAACCCTAAACCCTAAACCCTAAACCCTAAACCCTAAACCCTAAACCCCCCTTGAACCCCCTTCCCTTAAGAACCCTATAATGAACTCTGTACCCGCCACGCAAGAACACCCTGTAGCCTGAAAAGACAATCCCAAACTAAGAAAAGCCGAGCTCTTGGAATCTGAAGCTCTGAAACCCAAGTCCTGAACCCTATAGGTCTTTAACTCAAACAAACCGCCGCAAACCCTAAACCCTAATCCCTAAACCTTAAGCCCGAAGACCTAAACCCTAAACCCTAAACCCGAAACCCGAAACCCTAAACCCTAAACCCTAAACCCTAAACCCTAAACCCCGACAGAGTCTTGCAGCTGCCTCGAGGTCTCCTCGCCCTCTCCGACCCCACCTTCGAACAGACTCCGGCATAGGGTTTAGGGTTTAGGGTTGAGGGTTTAGAGTTTAGGGTTTAGGTCTTCGGGCTTAAGGTTAAGGGATTAGGGTTTAGGATTTAGGGATTGAGGGTTTAGGGATTAGGGATTGAGGGTTTAAGGACTAGGGATTGAGGGTTTAAGGTTCAGGGGCAACGGCGTAGGGTTTTGCGCTTAGCAGGCCTGTAACACGAAGCAAGCGCGCGCCAAGTTGGATCCCGAGTCTGCACCACCTCGACACCCCAAACCCTAAACCCTAAACCCTAAACCCTAAACCCTAAACCCTAAACCCCAAGCCCTAAACCCCAAACCCCCTAAACCCCAAACTCGAAACCCTAAACCCAAAAACCCCCGAATTCCCCAAATCCAGAAGATGCTGGGGCTGGCGGCATGGGCTTCGCGGACTGCGAGAAGAAGTCGTCCTCTCGTGACAGAAAAGCACAGGCGAGCCCAGCAACTCTTCCCAGGCTTAGGGGTTAGGGTTTAGGGTTTAGGGTTTGGGGTTTGGGGTTTGGGGTTTGGGGTTGAGGGTTTAGGGCTGAAAATCCTGATAGAAGGGTTGAGGGCTTAGGGTTTCGGGCTTCAACCCAGACCCTAAACCCTAACAGAAGGGTTGAGGGTCTAGGGCTCAAATCCACAATCCCGAAAACCTCTAAATCTACATCACCCTAAATAACCCTAAACCCTAAAACCCAAAACCCTCAACCCTAAACTCTCAGCCCTGCTTGGGCTAGAACTAGGATGCTGGGCTAACTATTTCGAGGGGTGATGCGGAAAGCATAGGCTCTAAACCCTAAACCCCAAACCCGAAAAAGCCTCTTCAGGTCGGGACAGCACAAGACTTGAGGGTTCCGGATTTACTAAGACTCACTCCACCCGACAACTCCCCCTCTGAACCCTAGACGCCATCCGTGCAAACCGGAGGTTGAGGGTTCAGGAGTTTGGGGTTTATTGCTTCGGGATAAACGGGTGCCCTTTGTTGTTTTGAAGGGGCTGACAAGGGAACCTAAACCCTAAACGATGGGAATACGGGCCTGCTCTGGGTCCTAGAGGTTTAGGATTCACGCTTTCGGCTGCCGTAGGGCTGTGTCGGAGTCTTGCGTTGAGGGCTTTAGGGTTGAGGTTCAGATCTTGGGGCCACGCTGGGTTTGAGGGGACTCATGCAAGAACAAAACAACTCTTGCCTACAAGTCTCAAAACAGCCCAAGAAGACACCCCTAAACACACTAATGCCTCCCATCCCAAAAACCTGCCCAAAACCTAAACTCCAAACCCGATCCCTAAACCCCAAACCCCAAACCCCAAACCCCAAACCCCAAACCCCAAACCCCAAACCCCAAACCCTAAGCCCTAAACCCTAAACCCTAAACCCTAAACCCTAAACCCTAAACCCTAAACCCTAAACATTTCGGAATCCCTTCCCGGCCTGGCTAACGGTGCAGGGCCCCTTGCAAGGCATGGGCCTGGATAGTTTCGTAGGATCCTAAGAGGGCTTAGGGGCCTTGCAGGATCCGAACGGGGTTTAGGGTTTAGGGTTTAGGGTTTAGGGGGATCCTAAGAAGGTTTAGGGCCTTTGCCAGGCTGTTGGGTGAATATCGCAGCAAACCCGCATAGAGGGTTTGACTCGTTGTTGAGGTTTGGGCTTTTCGTTGGCTGACTTAATGTACCGTTTGCGTGTTCTTGGTAGGTCACGTGTGCTTGGAAGTGTGGTCACGATAGGGGCCTTAGCCCCAAGCCCTACGTTTTGCAGGACTAACGTGAGCAAGGGCTGAGGTTTTCGCCTAGGTCTCGCGAGAGCGCCACAGCTTCAATCCAAAACGCCTAAGCGGTCGCAGAACATACAGCGAGGAACGGCCGTCAGTGTCAAAGACCCTAAACCCTAAGCCCTAAACCTTAAACCCTAAACCCTAAACCCTAAGCCCTAAGCCCTAAGCCCTAAACCCACATCCAAGATTGGTGGCTTGCGTATTATCCGGAGACTTGAAGATGGCTGAAAGGCACAGTATATTTTCAACCAGCTACAGATAAGCAAGGTCCTGTAATGAAACCAGCGGGGAAGCTAAACATCATTCTTACTTGGAAAAATGCATAGGGTAGGATTTCAGCATGAAGGCTTAGCCCTATATGCACCAGCATCATTGCCTCCTCACCCCCCCCCCCCCCCCCCCCACCTTAAAACCTAGACCCTGTAATAATGAGCTTAGGGCTCGCGGGTGTACAGCCACGCGAGGGGGCGGGTGTGCCCCTCTTCCTCCTTTGTGGCGCATCTAGTAATGACCAAGGAAACACGCAAAGCCTGAAGCTGTCGACATTTCACGACCAAAGCGGCTCCAGCTACCACCCATGCATGCGATGGGGAAAAAACATGGATGCTGTGCTGAGCTACGGTTTAGGGTTTAGGGTTTAGGGTTTAGGGTTTAGGGTTTAGGGTTTAGGAGGGTTTAGGGTTTAGGGTTTAGGGAAAGCGGCACCTGACAACCCTCAGAAAAGATCTCTTGGCATAAGAAATGCATTTCTGCATGCTCTTTGTGCTGACACATCTGAACAAGACATTTGAAATGAAGCCGCGAAAGTCCCGAAAGCAAGATGTTTTTCATAATCTCGCCTCATTTAACATGGAGTGTCTGTGGCAGAGTGTGGCAAGCCGCAAGCGTGAACGAAAATGTTCTGGTTGCCGAAGGGTTGGGCTGTGAGGCAAGTTGGGCTTGTTGCGGCAGGTCGACGCTGGTTTGTCTCAGCCCTAAACCCTAACCCTAAACCCTAAACCCTGAACCCTGAACCCTAAACCCTAAACCCTAAACCCTAAACCCTACACCCTAAACCCTAAACCCTAAACCCGAAACCCCAAACCCTACCACCGTCTCACGACCCTAAGCTCGTGGCATGACCTTGTAGCTTGCAGGATCTTAGATGATCCAAGAACTGAGCCTCTCCGGTTTGGGGTTTGGGGTTTGGGGTTTGGGGTTTGGGGTTTGGGGTTTAGGGTTTAGGGTTTAGGGTTTAGGGTTTAGGGTTTAGGGTTTAGGGTTTAGGGTTTAGGGGGCTTAATGATGAGGATGCACTCCTGGCCGCTCAAAGGGCTGCCACTTGTACAGTCCCACCCCCGGCATTTTTCCCCCACGGCAGCTCCGAAGCCATCATTCCTTAGACTGAACACCAAAACCCTGAAACCCTAAAACCCTAAAACCCTCAAACCCCTGAAACCCTAAAACCCTAAAAACCGAAACGCAAAAACCGTAAAACCCTAAAACCCAACCTAAACCGCCAAAACCCTAAAACCCGAAAATCCTGAAACCCTTGAACCCTTGTAAACCCTTAAACGCCATGAACCCTCCAACCCTATACCCACTTAAGGCCGATAAACCCAAAGCACCTCGGCCAAAGCCCCCGCTGACAGGGTCCGGGCCCATAGCTGATGCCCTTCACAATGCCCACGTCTGTCCTGGCCAGGTCCCAAAGCGGTTTGGGGCTTAGGGTTTAGGGTTTAGGGGTTAGCCCCCAAACCCCAAGCCCTAAACCCTCTCGCATGCGGGACGTAAACCCTGCACCCTAAGACACCTCAAACCCCAAAAGTGAACACCAATTCCAAAAGCATGAAGCCCTAAGCCCAAAAACCCTGAATCCCGAACCCAAGCGTGTGCCAAAATTCAGGCTCTCAGGGTTTAGGTTGGAAGGTGTTTAGGGTTTAGGGTTTAGGGTTTTCACGTGCTTGCAGGCATATGAAACTAGTATTGCAATCGTTTTTTGGGGGAGGGCAATCAAGTTATTGGTAGGGGGACTACCCCGGTTTGAACAATCAGACAAGTCGTGCTAGTTCTTAGGGCTTCGGGCTTAGGGTTTAGAGTTTTAGGGTTGAGGGAAAGGCATTAGATACCTACTTCGTGCATTATCTTACTGAGGGGCGTGGCGGGGCAGTAGGAAGGGACCAGGGACGCGTTATCCCACTGCCCTGGAAATCCCTCATATGCACCTTGTCCGACATGGCCCCTATAATATGTGCAACTCCACTTTGTGCATAGCTACTTACCTCCCAAATTTCATAACCATACTTCACAGCTACTTACTAAATCGCCCAGCCCTTTAAGGGCTAAACCCTAAACCCTAAACCCTAAACTGTAGAGTCTCGGGTGCACCGAGGCTGGTGCCCACATCCACTGTAAAACAAAGCCACCGCAGCAGCTGCCAAACCTGAAGAGTCAGGGATTGTCGGAGACAGGCCTATGGGTTTCAGGTTTATAAGGGTTCAGGTTTAGGGTATAGGAGTATAGGGTTTAGGATGTAGGGTTTGCTGGTTGAGATGAACTGCAGTAGACCTTTTTTCGTAGAATGGGTGCAGTACTCTTAGGCATCAGCGCCCCTCGAAGCACTCCCACACCCCTGAAACCTCCGATAAGGCGCCCCCGCAGTGCAAAAGGCTGATATCCTCACACCCCCCCCCCCCCCCCCCCTTACCCGCCGAACCGGGGAGGTCTCTCTCTGGGCTGAGAAAGGGCCTGGAGTGGCTTAGAGAAATGCAGGGATTGGGGTTTAGGGTTTAGGGTTTAGGGTTTAGGGTTTAGGGTTTAGGGTTTAGGGTTTGGGGTTTGGGGTTTAGGGTTTAGGGTCCAGGGTTTAGGGTTAGGGTTCGGGCTTTAAGCTCTAGGATGGTTCTTAGTCTGGAGTCTGGAAATTAGGGTCCCTATGTAATGATTGGTTAGGGGGAGATATGTACCGTTTTGCTCCATCAAGAACTGATAAGTCAACTTTAGGGTCTATTTCATTAAGGTTCACATGCTACTGACTGAGGCTCCCACTACGCAGGGTTCTAAACCCTAAACCTAAACCCTAAACCCTAAACCCTAAACCCTAAACCCTTAACCCTTAACCCTAAACCCTAAACCCTAAACCCTAAACCCTAACCCTAAACTCTAAACCTAAACCCTAAACCCTAAACCCTAAACCCTAAACCCTAAACCCTAAACCCTAAACCCTGAGGCCTCCCTGTCTGTGAGGCTGAGCGCCGCACGGGCCAAACCCATTGGATGGGCCTGGTAGACCACCCCTGAACCCCAAACCCTAAACCCTAAAAACAAAATCCTAAACCCTTGACCCTAAACCCTAAACCTCAGGATGTAGGGCTTAGGTGGCTGAGGGTTTGATCCTTTGGGTTTAGGGGTTAAGCCCAAAAACCCTAAACCCTGCGACCCAAAACCTGAACCCCCAAACCTTAGCATCGGATCCGTACACGGTTTAGGCTTTTACTAGGATTCTTCCACGTCTGCATCGTTTAGGGTTTAGGGTTTAGGGTTTCGGGTTTCGGGTTTAGGGTTTTGTAGCATATCGGGTTCTACTAAAATCCTGGGAAGCCGCTGCCTCTGAACGATGCGCAAGTCCTTACAATCTCCGACTCTTGTTCTCTGGCAGAAACGTCCAACCTAAGACATAAGACCCAAACTGATATGAGTTGTGGTCTTTATGCCCGTGGAAGTAAAGTCACCCTAAACCCTAAACCCTGAACCCTAAACCCTAAACCCTAAACTTAGAAGGTTCGAGGCATGGAGACGAACACAGATATACCATTAAAAAAAACCTGCATAAATCCTGTATAAAACCCAGATAAAACCCAAACCCTGAAATCAGGAGCGAGGGGAGGGGGCTCTTGTGTTCCTCAGGAAAAAAACGCGCAAAAAACGCGAAAAAAACGCGAAAAAAACGCGGAAAAAACGTGAACAGAACGTGAAAACAACCCAATCAAAACCCCAAAAAAAACCCCCCCCCCCCCCCCCCCCCCCCCCCCCCCCCCCCCCCCCCCCCCCCCCCCCCCCCCCCCCCCCCCCCCCCCCCCCCATGCAGGTGAGGCGGGGCGCCAAAGCCATGGTCTATGTCTCGTAGCATGTGCTTGGTTGCCGCCTTTTTTTTATGTTTTTTTCAGGTTCGTCTTAGGTTCTTAGCGGGTTTCTCCGAACCCTGGCTTGGGTTTTTTTTGGGTTCTGTATAGGTGAATTTTGGGTTTTTTTTTAATGAGCCGATTTGGGCATCTCCATTGGATCGGTCCTTTTAACCCTAAACCCCTTCCGCAGAACCTTCTGCGGCCTTCCGGGGCGGCTTTCGGGCAACCTCGATGGCCACCGCAGACCTTCTGCAGACGGATCTGCCGTCGCCTTCACGCACCCTAAACCCTAAACCATAAATAACCCTAAACCCTAAACCCTAAACCCTAAACCCTAAAGCCTAAACCCTAAACCCTAAACCCTAAACCCTAATACAGCTCATTGGGCCGAACCAGTTTCGCGAGCAGACGGGTCTATGAGTCGAGCATCGCCTTCCGCGGCCCTCCGCGAACCTTCCGCCTGCAGACGCCCCTGTCCCTGACTCTCTGCTGTATGGGCTCAGCTGGGGGAATTTAGGGTTTAGGGTTTTAGGGTTTAGGATGGTTTAGGGTTTAGGGTTTAGGGTTTAGGGTTTAGGGTTTAGGGTTTAGGGTTTAGGGTTTAGGGTTTAGGGTTTAGGGTTTAGGGTTTACGGTTTAGGGTAGTAAGTAGGGATATAAGTACCTTAACTGAGGTTCTACGTGGCTATAGGTATGGTGACCTTACTTGTAACCCCCCCCTTACTAACTCCCCTGATCCCTTAAGTAACTTTAAATACAAGCAGCGCTTGAAAACAAAACGCGACTCAGATAAGGAAGCACAAGAACTGAAACTCCTCCAAGCCCGTAAACCCGCGGTCCAGGGTGCAGCCCTAAACCCAAAAAAGCGGTCCTATTCCAGCTCGGGTGTCAAGGATCTGCTGCAGCGTCGCCAGCCTCAGTCCAGGCTTTCGGCGTTTCGGGGCTTAGGGTTTAAAATCAATAGGCTTAGGGGTTTGAGGTTTGAGGTCTTTAGCCCTATAAACCCTTAACCCTAAACCCTAAAAACAAAAACAAATTGTAGGGGTGCTGGGCTCGCAAGGTAGGGTTCTTCACCTCCCCCGTTTTTTCAGCATCAGCAGCGCGTATGGCTGGGCTGGACCGCCTCAGACTTCCTTGGGACCTCCGAAACGCCATCGGAGTACACCCCGGTTTCGGGGTTGAGGGTTTAGGGTTCTAGGGTTTGGGTTTTAGGGTTCCAGGGTTTCGGGTTCTAGGGCTTCGGGTATTTCAGCGTTTTTGGGTTTGTGTGTTTGGGGTTTTAGGGCTTTAGGGCTTTAGGGCTCTAGGGTCCTAGCGGTTAGAAACGCTAAGCCCTGACACTGTGGGCCCTAAGCCTAACCCCTGAAACCACAAGCCCCAAACTCTAAGACCATAACCCTAAACCTTGAACCCTCAACCCGAAACCCTCGAACCATAACCCTAAACCCTATCCAACAACCATGGGATTGTTCAGGCTCGGGCTTGCAGCTTGGGCTTGGGGTTTAGGGTTTTAGGGCTTTAGGGGTTAGGGGTTTAGGGGTTTAGGGTTTAGGGTTTAGGGGTTTAGGGTTTTGGGGTTTAGGGTTTAGGGTTTAGGGTTTAGGGTTTAGGGTTTCAGCAAAGCAGGAGTGGATGGCGGTTGGACAGGGTTTTGAGAGTGGGAAGACGCCCCACCCTAAACGTGGCGATGTCTCACAAAGATCCCAAGGGTCTGTGCCAGCCCATGCCCTGAACAAATCGTTTTGCTTGCGCACATAGGGTTTAGGGTTTAGCGTTTAGGAATTTGAAGACGAATGGCCGACACAGTCGTCTGAGGGCGGCGCAAAACAAAAACCCTTAAACCCTTAAACCCTTAAACCCTTAAACCCTTAAACCCTTAAACCCTTAGACCCTTAAACCCATAAACCCTTAGACCCTTACACCCTAAACCCCAGGCCCTTAAGCCCTAAACCGTGCTGCGCAGGGCCATGAACCGCCTGAGCTACTCCATTCTCGCAATGCACTGCCAAAAGGAAAAAGCTTAGGGTTGGTTTAGGGCTTCGGAACCCCTAAGCCCTAAGCCCCAAGCCCCAAGCCCTAGGCCCTGAACCCTGAACCCTAAACCCTAAACCCTAAACCCTAAACCCTAAACCCTAAACCCTAAACCCTAAACCCTAAACCCTACAGGGTCCAGGGTTGAAGGAGCCCTGGCTTGAGCCTAACTTCGGTGACAAAGCTCGGGGCCCGCACTCACGCTGGCGGAAGTTGAGCGTTTGCTCAAAGCCTGCTTTCCCTAGGGTTTAGGGTTTATAGGGTTTAGGGTTTAGGGTTTAGGGTTTAGGGTTTAGGGTTTAGGGTTTAGGGTTTAGGGTTTAGGGTTTAGGGTTTAGGGTTTAGGGTTTAGGGTCCATGGACCTATGTAGGATATACTTGGGCCCTGAAGCTCTAGATGGGAACCCCCTCAAGGCCCAAGCATATGCTAGATAGGTACATGGACCCTTAGGGTTTGCGAAGATGAAGACGTAAGGTAGTCCATAATATACTCTAGTCTACTCTAGTCTACTATAGGCTACTATAGTCTACTCTCGTCTACTAGATTCTACTGTAGTCTACTATGGTCTACAAAAATATACTATACTATACGATGCTATAGTGTAGTCATAGTGTAGTTGTAGTGCAGACATAGTAGTGTAGTTTTCGTGTAGTTATAGTGTTGTGACAGTGTAGTTATAGTATCCTGAAGGAATCCGAAGACCTAAGCCCAACACCCTTGTAAAGCGTAAACCCTGCAACGCCCACAACCTGGTAAACCCCGTAAACCCTAAACCATAAACCATAAACCCAAAACCCCAAACCCCCCGCTGATCCCTCAAAAAACAAAACATTCAGCGTTTCGGGGGTAAGCCCCAGACCCCAATGCCCTAAACCTTAAGCGCCAACAAAACAAGCCCCGCAAAGCCTCCCCTCTTCTCCTTCCTCAACCCCAACTATAAACTACATACGCGAGTTCTATCAAATTTGCAGGCCTACTCGTTGGATCAACATTAATATGCACGCAGACTTCAGGATAGAGGGAACCAAGAATCCAACACATCCGGACAGTACCCTGAAACCTAAACCCCAAACCCCGAACTTGGCCCTAAGCCCTAAACCCCTCAACCCTTAACCCTCCATGTCCCCTCAGGGCAGGGCACGGGCAGATGAAGCGAGAGGCCAGGCGGCCAGACCCAGGTCGCTGCTTTCACACTGTCACAGGCTGAAATGGTGATGATCTGTTGCCCTAAAGCCTAAAGCCGTAACCCTAAGTAAACTGAAGTTTCTGACATGCGGGTGGCTGAAGGTCGAGCAGCGGTGTCCTCACGAAGCTCTTAAGGCGAAGATCAAAAGGCCACAGCTTGTCAATGCAATGCACTCTCGGACCAAATGGCTGTGGAATCAGGCAGCTGTGGTGAACGACCTTATAAGACCTAAATCCGCCGTCCCCAAAACACCCCCCCCTCCTGGTGATTTGTTGCGGGCAGTGCTGAGAGCTGCAGCCCTAAACCCTAAACCCTAAACCCTAAACCCTAAGCCCTAAACCCTAAACCCTAAACCCTAAACCCTAAATGCAGGTGCAGAAAGCCTGAGACTGGCAACTCTTCTGAACGCACGGAATTTCCTAAACACACACACACACAGAGGGGGATGTGGAGGTAACAAGTTGGAATGTTCCTCCTTCGGGTTTAGGGTTTAGGGTTTAGGGTTTAGGGCTTAGGGCTTAGGGCTTAGGGTTTAGGGCTTAGGGCTTAGGGTGTAGGGAACAGTGCTATAATCCCTACCAAGGACTGTTAGTGTAAGGGGAACATCCCAAGTAACAAGTCATTTGTCATTGTTAGGCATTCGTGAATTCGTGGATTTTGGGTTTCAGGGTTGATGCCCTCATCCCAAGCCTTGAACCCCATATCCTTCAACAAGGCTTGGTTTGTTCCCCTCTGGGCTGTGCATGGCTGCTGGACACATGTTAATTATGGCCTTTTGGGGAGCCCAAGCTATGAGACTAGAATGAAGTATCGTGAAAACTATGACGATGGAGATCAAGTTAGATCAACCCCCCGCGCATCACAAGCGCTGAAGTGCGCCAGGAGCGAACGCGGCACACACTTTGAGTCGCACCCAGAGGATGGCGTGCGG